ACACAACACTCGTTACTATGCACGTGTTAACAATTTAAGTGACCAATTAAGACCAAAGCTTTGGCTCTTCGCAAAGCAGCAACAGTGAAAAATGCAAAAATGTGAACAGTATCTTTGTTTGGCACTCTGCTGAATATAGAGAAGCATTCCCAGTTGTGGATTCGCACGACACGAGAGCTTGGAGACAAGTTTAAGACCACGAATTATGACAAATCAAGACGGTCTGTGGTGAAGGCATTCAGACAGTTGACCAGAACAGTCCTGTAACAGTGAAGTCAGAATTCTGATCATCTAGTTTACCAGAATATTCTCTTGCAGCAGCTTTATTGAGATCTGTACACAAAGGTTGATAGAAAATGTTTTCTCCCCCGCTATCGAAAGCTCTTGTAAACCAATACTGGTGCACCATGGCTAGAGCCTGTGCAAAGTCAAATTCCAACATATTTAAAATTTTAGTTTCGTTCATGTATCTCTACGATTGGCTCAAAATGTTGCCATTAAAGAAGTGTAAAATGCCCAGAGGCATAATTTTATTGGAGTTTGCTTTTAAAAAGAATCGTGACCTCGTTGTCTTAAAGGATCAAAAAACATTGTTGCCTGAAATGGTGCACACTTTTGCCCCAAGTACAGCTGTGTCGTGACGTACGTACACTGTCATCCTTTATGAAAGGGAACACGTGAGCGCATGGCCTGCACTCTGCGGCGGCTGCCTACAGGACCATTATCAACGGACAGGAAAAGACGTTGGCTTTTGGCGTCATTTATTGGCAAACAAAACAAAGAGGTATGTCCACTGGACAAGCACTGCAAGGTACTGTAGGCAGCCGTTGCAGAGAGCAGGTCACGCGATTGCGTGTTCCTTTTTATAAAGAATGACAGTGTACATGCTTCTATCCCAAATACAGCTTACAGCGGCATTCTTTAGCTCCAAATACAGCTCTGTCACCCAGAACTTCAGACACACAGGCACATACCTTTGCACCAAATACAGCTATCAGCAGCCAGAAATTTTAAGGCCACACAAATGCATGCTTACATCCTTAGACGAGACCTTGGAGGCTGCAAGCGAGCTGAACCGAGCTATCGCAGCAAAGTTCTTTATACGCTATTACAGGTATATAGCAGTAAAGGGCAAGAGCGGGGATAACAAAGATAGTTCAAATTACCCTTTAACTTCACTGTATGAAGTTTAACTAACATTACAAGTAATATTCTGTTTGCAACAGCACTGTGCAGCAAGCTAGCAGCTTTACGCACATTGAATTCTTGCATGCCAGGGAATCTTGCCAATTATGAATCAACCTGTCATGTGAATCCACAATAATGTAGTCCATCAGAGTTACGCAAGCTCACGCAATGCAATGGCATCTTTGCAATTCCCGTACAGAACAGCAATCGTCTGAGCCAGCTCGAAGTGCTGTCTCACTGATACAGGAGTAGTGCTAGAATAAATTGTGAACGCAGAGATTGCAACCATCCATTTTGCCCCGATAGTTGCCAATTCAGTGTCTCCCTTAAGGTGTGTCTACAGAAGGGCATTTATTGGCACAGGTGTTCACAGAAGAGAACGACATAACAATGTAATAGCAGAGGTCAGAACTTTGTTTGTTTTTTTTTTTTTTTCTGGCACCATCAGGACAAGAGTGTACTCACTGAATGAACTTCACCACAAAATGCAACGCGCATTGTACATCGTTGGACACTTCACGACGAACACGGTTCGAATGTAAAAATACAAACCTACAGACTATACAGGGGATTCCCAATCTATACAGCAATGCGTTCACACCTATGCATAGGGGACAACAAACTGCACTTTGAACGAATATAACAAAAGCAATCGGTTGTAGTGAGCACAGATGACTGCCTGTGTTGCAGCGAATTATTCACGCAATGGCGTATCTTGTGGCACCAAGGAATGAATGTGTGCAGACCATGGTAGCTAAACTCGAGCACAGTTGCACATTTCTGTAGCTTTTGGAGCTGATCGGTCATGAAGTTGTTATATGTAAACCTTGTTATTCAGATCGCACCACATCCTCCTTTTCCTGTTCATAGTGCCCACCTGTGCCTTGCTCTCCGAGGGTTCACACTTGCTGCCAAAGACATCGCCCGCGCAGCCGGAAGCGACACTAGCAATTTCGAGTTCTTAATTCAAGGTCGGGATGAGCGGTGTAAATTTATCATACACTTCCTGCATCGCTCGATAACTAGCGATGAAAAATTTAGTTCATGCCTCTTCCGTAGCAATTGACAGCAACACGAAAGTGACACGTTCACCGGCATGTTGACAGCCCGGCTCGCAATACCGAAGTCACGGACAGCATTATGCGTGTCTCTCTTTACGCTTTTGAAGACACAGGTGTTTCCTGCCATGTTATATCTTAATGCAAAATAAATTGCAATCTTGTGCATCAGAACAATGATAAAAAAGCTGGTCCATCACTTTGTCATACGTACCGATCATAACACGGAACGAAATTGAAACGAGCCTTCATGTGGTAGTGCGGCATTGTTAGAGACTAACAAGTGCGCAAGATTTTACGATTTTTAATGCAATATAACACAGTAGCAAACCCAACGCATTCGTTTTAGAATTTACATAGAGCAAAGCTCTTTCAAACTTTCGGCCTTTCACGCAAAGCTCCAATGCTTGCTCGCGACTCGGTGTGGCTTTGTAGGCCTCCAACACCGCCTTTCCACGATAGGATGTTATGTACCTTATGTAAATGAACCGATGTGAACTGAAGTTGTGCAGGAACTGTTCTGTAGCTATAAATCAAGAGACCACGATAAAAAGCAGAAGTGAATTCAGATGTTGGAAGCGGAGACAGGGAATTAAAGCAAGACATATCACTTGGTTGATGAAGGTTTTGCTTGCCACTTTTACTGCGCACGCTAATTTTCTAGTATGCAAGTGTGTGTGCGATCAGACACCACCACAACAGTGTCAAATTGGATGAATGCACATTTCATGCTGCTTGTGAGCTGTTCTTTAAAATGATTTTTGACCCAAGCAACCCTGTGTAACCATTCAACGTGGAACCACTAGTTGAAGGTCCGTTGATATATTTGTACTCTTGAATGTATAGATATTTTGCCAGGCTAACACAATGATGCAAAAGAAAGGTAGCAGTGGTTTCTTGAGGCCAAGGCATTTTGGGAATTCCTGACCAAATGGATTTGTAGCTGGTACTGACATCAAATGTCGCGGTACAAGCAGAGTTTAGTTGGAATTTGGAAGCCAGGGTACAACTAAAAAGAAATAAATTTTTGAAAAGCGTAAAAATTCAGCTTTATCGGTACGACACTTAGCAAGCAAAGTGTAAAGCCACATGGAACAAAGGCAGAACACGCACTATACGTGGATCTGAAGCATTTTCTCTCCGTCCTTGGTTTTTGCACTTTACGTGGGGCATGGCAATCTGTTTTCGCTCATTTGATTTCTGCAGCACTATCAGCATTGACTCAAACACAAACAAGTTGACGACTTTCGTGTATCTGGCTTTGCCCGAATGGAGAGCAAAACGCGCGATACAGAATGCACATTACAACAGAGCAGTTCTTTATCGCACTGTGATGTAGCATTTGAGCATAGCTAAATTTATACAGACAGTACATTCCTAGCTTGTTATGTTGGCATATACATGAAAAATCTTGCTCACTTTTGGAGATACCATATTTACTCGCGTAATGAACGCACTTTTTTTTCCTCAGAAAAATCGGAGCAAAGTTGGGCGGTGTGTTTATTATGCGGGGAAAATTTTGTGAAAACATTTTTTGATATAAGCAAAAAAATGCAGTAATGCAAAAAAAAAAGGTTAGGTCGCTTAGCTTCTTTGTAGCACTTCACTCATCTTCAGAGGTTGAAGGTGCTATCTTCTGCAAGCTGTTCCCACGCCGCCCGTGCATGCCATAAAAGCATTTCGCGACTACATTTTTTTGCAATTGTTTAACTGCAACAGTGGTATCTGCTGTGATCTCAAGGGGCGCCCAGAGGTGTGCGCTACGAAGCCACGACGCACTTAGCCAACTTCGTGGCAACCTCGCACGACGACCGCAACGACGCCGTTGACATTGTAGCAAGCAACCAACGTTGCAGCAAGCTACCACCCAAGCATCAAAACAAACTGTCGATAACAAGATTACCGACAAAATATAGCAGCCGCCTCACTTGCAACCGAAGCGACAATCAAGGACCACGTTTCGAAATATTCATGATCTTTTCTGGGCGATAAGCGATTTCTCTATAGTTTTCCAGAAACCTGAGACGCGATGGCAGCGAATGGCCCTTTGCGACAGCCATAGTGACAGCAAATCCTGTCATCGACACTCGTAAATTGCATGCATGTGGTTGGGCCATGCAGGAAGCGACCATCAGTTGGCGCGGGCAGTTTCGTGACCTTCGCTCACTGTGTTCTTGTCAGCTGTGATGTCCCTATTCGTAACGTTCGTGAACCTCGCTGTGGCACATATGTATTACAAGACTGCGCACATGCCGCGCGCAGATAAAGAAAAAAAAGGCTATATGGCGCACAGCAGTGGGTGAAGGGGGGGGGGGGGGAGATGGCGAGTGGGGGGTCGGCAAAAGAATAAAAATCGGAAGAGATCCAACAGGCAAGAAGGCGCCAGGTGTCGGTTAGCGGGACCGCAGTGGACTAATGTAGTAATTGATTGATTGATATGTGGGGTTTAACGTCCCAAAACCACTATATGATTATGAGAGACGCCGTAGTGGAGGGCTCCGGAAATTTAGACCACCTGGGGCTCTTTAACGTGCACCCAAATCTGAGCACACGGGCCTACAACATTTCCGCCTCCATCAAAAATGCAGCCGCCGCAGCCGGGATTCGAACCCGCGCCCTGCGGGTCAGCAGCCGAGTACCTTAGCCACTAGACCACCGCGGCGGGGCTGGACTAATGTAGTAGGTGTGCTTATTGCGCAGGGAAAAGAAATATTCAAATTCTGACAACTGAAGTTGAGGGTACGTTTACTATGCGAGTGTGTTCATTACGCGAGTGAAGACGATACATGTACATTCACAAATGCGTCTGGCACAGCATCTTATCTGAATGAGGGAAATGCGGTTCAGCTCAACACGCTCTGGAAAGTGGCATCCTCAAAAGTGAGCTGTCCACAACACACTCTTGGAGGCAGTTTAAATGCACCAAAACCGAAAAACCGTGAGAGGTCTGTCGTATGCACATGCGAACCAGAATATATCACAAATAGCGTGACTAATGAGCCATTAAAAATCAATCTATCAAACACGTGCAAACGGCAAAGCAACGAGTGAAGCGAAAAAACTACAGAGAATATGTATCTAACTGAACTGCCAGCAAGACCTAGCGGTCATCGTTACACTATTGCAGTCTATTTCCTCCTGACGCTTAGCTTACACAAGACTATGGAGCTGTGCTAGCTACCTGGCTAGATAGTACTGCTCAGACAGGCCTGCTAGCTGGTGCCTGAAACAGCTGATGCTCCTCTCTAATGGAAGATATCCTCCGCTGTGGTCCCGCTGATGACGGTACTGATGCTCTCAAGACGTCCAGAAACAATGCAGAAATGTTTTAACTTGACGTTGCTGCTCCACCTGACGAGAACGTCCGTGAATCTGAAACAGTAAAAATGAGCAATGAGAACCGCCCAGTGTGAACTGAAGTGAAAATAAAATAATAAAAGCCATGACGTGGCTGAAGAAAGCACCAAGTGATGTGTGTGAACATTTGAAATTGCTTCGATTCAAACTTAAATTATTGAAAGTTTCTGAGTCCCCTGTGAGGATGGTTTCACTGCAGCAAAGGAATGCAAAACCGTGAAAGCAGCTATCCAATGAAAATCCGCACTACCTCAAACATATACCCTCACATTGATTCATCATTTTTTAAGTTTAAAGCTTGCGGTGCCAGCTTATATGCTCTGAGGATGGCAAATTGTAAAACATGACATATTTCACAGGTTAACGCGTTCATTCTAGTCAAAAGTCGAATCATGCTACTATTCAAAGTTGTTTCCGCTTTCTTTGAACAACAAAAATAAATTGCACTTGCACAGGCCTTCTTACAACTTTTAAAGATATTGCAACATGTTTTATCTGCCACCGTGAAAGGCCAGCTTGTGCAGCCTGTGACCTAACTATCTGCCAGTGTGTGGAGGTTAGTTAGGTTGAGACAAATATGCCAATTTTTCTCTAAAATATGTAATATGTATATACTATTCCAATTAAACTAGAAATTGCTGGCACCAAAATCACCATTCGCTTCGAACCTAAAGTTCACTATTCGCACAAGTCTAATGGATCAATTTTCGCACTATCATTAGCTGTAACTGTGTCATACCTGCAAAGTCTCCCGGGATTTGGACCGTTTCTTCCGTTTGTACGGTTGTCATGCAAATCTCCTGGAAATTCAAATTTTTGTGCATGATGCGGCCGCCTTGACAAAAAAGCAGCTCAATTCGCTCCAGGCTTTTCGAACCTACCCCATTTCATTATGACTGAGTTTAAGAGGCGTTCATCTAAAGGCACAGTAGAATCTCAGTGATGCGAAACCGCGGCAGATACGAATTTGTAAAATTCCTCAGCGAAATTCCACTATGTCTTTTGGGCCTAAACTTGAATGTTCTGAACACATCTTCTGTGTTCAACATTTTCAACATTTTCTGTAATAAACATAAATGCTCGAAGTGTCGTCAACAAATCGGTCGATCTAGAAAGCGTCCTCATTGCTTATGATCCCGACGTCACAATCCTTACTGAAACATGGCTTCCAAATGACATTCCCGACTCGGCAGTAATTCCTAGCTCTCATGAAATCGTTCGTCACGACCGAGGTGCAAAGGGGGGCGGTGTAGCGATAGTGCTGAAAAAGGGCATGGATTTTAAGGTTTTGTCGCACGGGACGTGCGTCGAAATGACTTGGATAGTTCTTCGGCATAAAAATTTGAGCATGCTCATTGGCGCTGTATACAGGCCGCCCAATTCCGATATAGCGGTACTCGAAGCTTTGCAAGATTTTTTGCTCGAACAAAGCAAACGTTATACCCACATTCTTGTAGGAGGTGATTTAAATCTGCCAAAAATAAACTAGGATCACTTTTGCGTTACAACACCCTGCCAGCACACCGAATTGCTACTTGATATAGCGTTTTCCTGTAGCATGACGCAACTTGTAAAGACTCCTACGCGTGTCACTGCAGGCACGAGTTCGATTCTGGACCTTATTTTTGTTTCTGAGTCTATTTGCAAGTTGAACAACACAATTGAAGTTGTACCAGGTATATCGGCCACGAACTAGTAATATTTAAAACCAACATGTTGTGTACTCCCTCGGCTACCCAAGTATGTAGATTCCTCAATTTTAATACTGCTTCGGATGAAAGTATTTTGGACCTCCTAGAGGAGGAGTATGACAAAATTTCTAACAAACATCTTCATAATCGCTGTGACGTTAACCAGCTATGGTCGCACTTTAAGACAACCGTTCACAAATGTATAAGTTCGTTCGTTCCGGAGAAAGTGAAAAAAATACACGGCCGTAGTCCTTGGATTACGCGCGAAATACTCCATTTAAAACGCAAGATAAAACGCCTGTCACGCTCAAAAACACAACCACGTAGTGCTACTCTGACAAGCCTCCGCGCCGAACTGCGCAACAAGATTAAAAGCTCCAAATTTCATTTCTTCAACGTAAAAATTCACAACTTTCTCACAACCAATCCAAGAAAACTTTGGATGCACCTCTCCGACAAAAAAGTGAAAGTGACAAAAATTAAAACCAAGGACGCGGACGTGACTGATGCCAGCTGCATAGCGACAGCATTTAACGATTACTTCTCTTCTGTTTTTTTGCGAACGGGTGACACCCCTCCTGATTTCCACGCAAACAATCTCAAACTGCCAGACTTGATTATAACAGATGAAGGCATCTTGTCAGCTCTACTTCATCTTGACACAAAAAAATCGGCTGGGCCGGATGAAATACCTAATGCTTTTCTTTATCGGTACGCCGAGTGGTGTTCCAAATACTTAGGCTTAATATTTAGGGAAAGCCTGTTACAAGGCGAAGTTCCAGTAGATTGGAAGAAGGGTAAATTGGTACCCATTCATAAATCAGGTGATAAATATGACGTGAAAAACTACCGCCCTATTTCGTTGTTATGTACAGCCGGCAAGGTTATGGAACACTTCCTTTTCAAACACTTAAGTTCATTTCTGGAGAGTAACCATTTTTTTCCCCCAAATCAACACGGTTTCCGGCAAGGCTTTTCAACCACCACACAGTTAATTCACACTACTGATGACTTTCTAAAAACACTTGACAAAGGCGGACAAATTGATGCGATTTTTTTAGACTTCGAAAAAGCTTTCGACCGAGTTTCCCATTCTCATTTGATGTTTAAAATTCGCCGAATCCTAACCAATGAAAAAATTCTTCGATGGCTTGATTGTTATCTATCCCACCGACACCAACACGATCGGATAGCAGATAAAAATTCTTCTTCCGCTCCCGTGCATTCTGGGGTACCGCAGGGCTCTGTCCTAGGACCACTTTTATTTTTAGTTTATCTAAATGACATGTCATCCGAATCTACTGTGCAGTGTCGTTTTTTCGCGGATGACTGCGTTGCGTACCTGCCCATTCAATCAAGAACAGATCACGCCACCCTAAATGAATACTTATCGGTTATTACAGCATGGTGTAACTCCTGGAAAATGAGCCTCAACGTAGCAAAGTGCGTCAAGATGACCATAACACGTAAAAAAAACCCCTCGGAATTCACTTACATGTTAAACAACACTGCTATAACAACCGTTAACCAGTATAAATACCTTGGTCTGACAATCACTTCTAATTTGAGCTGGAAAACTCATATCGAAGGCATAACATCAGCAGCACTGCGGCGATTGTGGTTCTTAAAGCATCGCATGAGGCACTGCACCAGCAAAACAAAACTAGTCGCTTACACTACATAGGTACGCCCATTGTTGAAATATGCTGACGTTGTATGGGATCCTCACACGCAAACAGAAATATACTTACTAGAACGAGTCCAAAATAAATCCCTTCGGTTTATTTACCACGCGTACAGTAGACACTGTTCAGTCACTGAACTCCGTAATAGATCCGCTCTTCCCACATTGGAGTCCCGTAGAAAGCTACATCGCTTAAAATTCCTTTATAACATAGTCAACGGACACTCAGGACTCGCCTTTAACACTTACATGCAGTGCAATACATCGCGAAAAACTCGGAACAAGCATGATAACACCATAGTGGTGCCGCTTACAAAAACAAATTCTCGGCGATATTCATTCTTTCCACGAACAATTTCTGACTGGAATGAACTACCTCATGACGTCACCAGCATCGCAACGCCCGACGCATTCTTATCAGCTGCCACTGCCTGTTTGTAGTAAAAGCTGTCTGGTTGTATGTGCAGATTTCAATTCTTCTAATGATGTTTTTACACTTCGTGTTAGGAACAAAAATTTGGATTGTATTTTCGATACCGCTCTAGTGTTGCTCCTGTAACCCGAGTATTCATGTTCCACGTAAACCTGTTATGTGGTGATTTTATTTCTGCGCCGTGAAGTGTAGTGTTATATGTGGCTGCAAGTATGAAAGTTTGTATCACTCCTGCCTTGGCCACCAAGAGGTGGCTGGCAGTATGCAATAAACAAATAAACAAACAAACAAACAAAACATTTCCTAATCGTGGAAGATGATACGAACTCTTGTTCAGAAATCGTCGAACGAAGGCCTTGCAAGTACTTGCGAAGCGTACTCGAAGCTTCGCAAGTACGCGTGCAACCGGCGCACGCACTGTCTTCTACAGTGTGCGTGATTGTCGTTCCCACAACCACTGTCGATGAAACCGTGGTCCGTCCTCTTCACGCGATCATGTATGGCGTCCAACACTCAACCAGTCAAGGCAACGTTGCTTTCCGCAAACCCAGCGGACAAAACCGCGGCAGATGCGATCGTAGACGGCATAGAATGACTTTGTTTTGAAGGGCGTGTGCCCGGTCAAGCATACGGGGATTGAAAAAGGAACTACCATTTGCCGCAACCGCCGTGCACAACATCCGGTCGCGGCGGTGCGATAGCGATCTACGAGCTCTGAGGGCACGCAGGGGTAGGCTAAAGGCAGTAAATACGTAAAAAAAAAAGTCACAGTTTCGCCGAAAGGCCGAAGCAATCAATGCGACAGCAACAACTTGGAATGTCACACTGAGAACGGCAAGCAGATCGAAACGCGCAGAGCGCTGCTCACGCACAAATGATGCACGAAAACAATACACACAAGACGAAAGCGAACTAACAACGTTTGCCGCTCGACACGTAACGTGCTGTTTAAACAAAAAAAGCGATGCTCGATACATAATCACAGGTACGGATGAGTACAAACTAACAAGTGTCCCAGTTATACCTCGCTACAAGTGTATGAAAAGCGCGCTCTTTCACAAACGGGGCCTGTGCATAGACCGGAGATACCTTTGCGGGCCTGGCAACTAACGCAATCGTTCCAGTGAAAGCTGAAGGCACACCATTCTCCCGACCGAAAGATAAGCGCGCACGCACAAGCATCAACCCCCCCATCCCCCTTCGCGGAGCGAAGTACGCGTCAGAGATAAGCGCGGGACGGCACATTGAAGGAGCTGGGCACCGAGCGCGGGCGGCTTTTTTTCCTTTCTAGAGCGTTAATATATATAGATAAGTATACATATACGGTGAATGACGGTGGTGGCGGCAAAAAACCAGCCCTAGCCTAGACTGTCAATAACAAAGGGGCCAGACGTGTTTTGGCGTTCCTGACAAAAGAATCTAGCAAGGAGCAAAGCTTTGACCCGCGCTATTGCGGCAGCCAGCTGCGCCGTCCCGTGCGTTCAAGTGTGTCCCAGTAAGACTTACAAGAGTTGTTTTGAAGGAAATAAATTCTGCTAGTTGTGTTGATCCTCTGAGACTCTAACCTTAGTAGAAAATTCCCTACCTTCGTGAGTTCGGCCACTCCAAGCCGACCGCAACGCTGATGTTTGCACTTGCGATTGAGACCCCCCACCCCCACCCCCTCTTGTTTTCCGCGATGTTTTTTTCTTGTTTGTTTGTCCTTGTGTTTACTTTTGGTGCCGAAAGAAACAGGAGCAAATAATTCAGCCCCCCCGCTGCTGAAATCTCTCAAATTCAGAATTCTTGAACTTTGCAGGTATGCTGTGTGTAAGTGCTCAGTCATTAGCGAGTTTTAGTGCATATGTAGCATCTGTAATACTACTAACTGGAACACAGTGCTCAGCATCACGAGCTTGTGCAGAAGTGTTGTACTTGCACGATAGGTCAGCGAACTCACTCATGAGTAGACTCACTTGAACTCGCTCAGACTCGCGGCTCAATTAGAGTCTGAATGAGTTTAAGCAAGTAATAATTTGTGCAAGTCTGGCTGAAAAAACTGAGTTCCACTTTCTTTTGCCTACCTAAGGCTTGCACACTTGGGCACTGCGCAAAAACATTTTTGCGTATGCTAGACCATGACGGATACAATGTGCACAGTACTAAAATTCGCTATCTTCAGAGCAGCTGGAAACAGCATCTCGGGCACCACCACGTTTCTGAAACCATTTATTGTCTAGAAACAGCGCAACTTTTCAGGGAACAGTCGAGTGGCACACAATTAGGAACGGGCATGTACCTTGCTTCTCGTCCGGGCTTTGTCTTTGGCTTGATTCTGCATTGACTTACCACGCACACTGGCTGCACTTCAGCACTGCGCCTCCTCGTCCAGTTGCGTCAGAAGCTGCCGAGCGCGGCTGCAGTTCCAGCCCGCATCTTGCAAGGGGCCCTCAACGGCGCTGATGTAGTCCTGTAGCAGCCGCCTGCCAAGCGGCAACGCGTGTGCCATGTCGAGAGGCCGGTCCCACCTCTTCGAGTACGTCACCAGCCAGAAGCACATCTCGCCGGCGTACATGAGCGACAGCGCATGCACGTCGCTGTAGATACCTGCAATGTTCGACATAGAAAGCGACCATTCAGGCTTAAAACTATACCTCGGTCACACCGAGCGTTTGGAATTCACGAAGCAGCAGCAAGCACTCATCTGTGCTTCACGTTTCCGGAAGAGGTTACTTAGCACCACGAACAGCAGCTGCAAAACATGCTCCGTTACAGAGAAAATTCAAGAAAAGGTGACGACCATCACATTGAAGCACGGATTGATATACAAGAACTGGAAGACAAGCTAGGTTCACCTATCGAAACATTGGCCAGCCTATTTGAGACACTGATCATCGATCGGACAATCCATGTGTCCTATCACACAGCAGTCATAACATCAGCATAACCTGAGCCAACTGAACTTCACCGTCAGGGGAGAGTGAAAAGGGAAAGCGGCAGTCCCTTTTCAATGGAGGCGAAATGCCAGAGGCTCGTGTACTGTGCAATGTCGGTGCACGTTAAACAACACTGGACGGTCGAAATTTTCGGAGCCCTCCCCTACAGCATCTCTCATGATCATATCGTGGGTTTGGGATGTAAAGCCCCAGACACTATTATCGATTTTGCACTTGCGGTGCTTTTCCTGGAACACGGTAAATATCCTGTAATTTTACTTAGATGGGACCAACGAATTTTATCTAAGAAGCAGGAAAAAAAATCTTTTTAGGCTACACATTCAGGGTTTAGATAGGCTACCTTGCCAGCTGCCACTTGCCTTTCTCCAGAAGTTCCAGCACATCCGTTTGCCCTGACAGCACTGCGACTTCCTCGACCCTCAACGGGCGACGAACGTTGAGCATTGCCGTGAGGTGCTGCACGCCTTGCTGCAGCAGCTGTACAGTCGTTGAAAAAAAAGTAAGATGTGTGCAGTAAATGACACTGCACAAGCTTTAACAATTCCTACGCAGTTGAGTAGAACCTGGACACTACAAATACAAATACAATGTCGCAGGCATAAAAGGCAACTCTTACGGGTCGCAGCTTGGCCGTGACTGAGTTGCACATGTAGAGTTGTGTGAAACAAAACGGAACGTCTCGCACTGTTTTTAAAAATTTTGCATCTACACGACTTCTCAAGAAAATGCGTAAAACACTCCTCGCCATTATGAGCATACGACATACTTATGCTTATTACAAATTATGTACATCCATTTCATTTATGACTTTGTTACACAACATTTTAGAGTATAGCTGGGAGTAAGCACTTTGAACAAGGAGTCATTAAACATTACTATTCACCTGTCATGCGATTCGCTGAGCTAGAATGATGTCCTGAATGCAGTAATATTTTGCACTACAAACAAACAGGGCATCTAACACATGAAACAAACATGTCGCATTGAAAGAAAAAACTGTGCCAGCAATCTTGCCTCTGTAGTTTTCATGCAACTTTTCTGCTTTATAGATGTGCACAAACTGCACAAAAATATATTTACCTGCCGGGTCTGCTAGATGCCCTTTTCTGTTTTAATTATTTTCAATGAGTAGAAAGTATGCCAGGTCGTGTTTAAAGTATTACCAGGTCATTACTCAGTAATGGGCAGGCAAGTTGCAGTCATGTAAAAGAATGCGTGCAGCGATGCAATGTGTGCACACACTGATGGTCGGCTCTTTCCGAGTGTGCTCCTCGCCAACTTTTGTAGCAACATTACCCCAGGGATTGAATTTGATTGAAGACAGCACAACTGCCACCACAAAACGGCTGGCACCAGATTTGTGTTATTCTGAGCACATTAGATCCCAGCTTGCAAAAAGAGCGCAGCGCGTACAGGCATACACCCAGCATTTCCCAAATGAGAGGCTGCTAAATATTAACCAGCGCTTTTGTGGCTGATACATATAAATAAGCCAACTGAAGCACTGTTGCACAAACTAATCAATACAAATGAAAAGAGTATGTGTTCAAGTGCAATACAATCTTTGTAGTGAAAGTAAATGCGTCAAAGAGGTAAGGTCTTCATAATTAATTATAGATACTGATGAGAGAAAGAAGGTTAATTAGACGTTAACAAGGACTGAGCCTGGCTAGCTACCCTGCACTGTAGAAAAGGGGGGGATTCTGTTTTGTTAATACGGTGCCTGTCGATTGCCTTAAGTAATTAGAGTATCTTGATATTAAATGTATGTCTTCTGCAACTGTTTCCTAGAAGTGATCCTAAACAGAATAGCAATGTCTGCTAATAAAAATTTGCTGTTACATTTTTTCTCCGATAGACACACCCCCCACACTTTCGGCCAATCAGCTTGTCCGTATCTTCAAACACTCAGATGTACGAGAGCTTCAGCAGTGCCACCATTGGCGAGTTTTACACAGCGCACCCCACTAGCTGAAACAAGGGCTGCTACTTCACACCGATTCCACAGCAAATGCACTGTTTTTCCCAAGCAGTAGAAAGTTTCACTTGCAGCGAGAAAAGTTTCCTGGTTGGCCATCAGCCAACTGTGGTCGTCATCTCCCTCCTTGCTCTGGCAGAACATGTAGACTAGTCCTCCCTTCCGCCATTCTATGCACTCTGCAAGCTCCTCGCCGAGGCCTTCAACTACCTGCAAGGAAATTTAACGTGCCATCCAAACTGAAGGTTGCCCTGCAACAGCAATTTTTAAGGGCACACCACTACTCCTCTAGGCCTTCTCCCAGAACACCAGAGAAATGAGAACTAAAATTATTAGGACAAACATATCACTGCCTTAGCTCACGAAAGAGAGCACGTTAGTGTGTGGCCTACACCTGCCTACAACACAAATGATTTTTTTTTTTGTCTCTTAATGGTTACCCAAACATTTTCACACGTTTCTTTTTTTTGTGAAATAGATTAATTTGAAGAGTATAACTCGGCAATAAAAAAACACACTTCTTTGGGAAGCATTTCATGGAAAAAAAATCTACTATCAAAGGGTTAACAGTGTCACACATGATAAATGTAAAACACAGGATGAAAAGGAAAGGAGAAACACACACTGCACTGACTTTTTTACCATCTAGGAATATTTAAAGTGCACCTGACACAATGGAGCATGAGCAATGAAGCATGCGTTCTACAAGCATTTGAATGTTGCAACAGTATCAGAATCAAAACCCATGACCCCCTGGTGTCTCGTTACCTTTTTCTGGAATGAATGCTACAACCAATGAGCTGCAATAGCGGGTCCTTTAACCACTTTATGAACAGAGAGAGCTTAGATGCCCACGGCTTGCAATGACAGCTGTGTGTCCTCCTCAAGATAAAAAAAAATTCAATTCGTGCGTACCACATGAAACTGGGTTTTGCAACACAAACCTGAATGCAATATGCTTCTTCGATAGTGTGGGAAAGAAGCAGCATTCAGTGTTATGAGAATTTCATTTGTTGCTGCATGACGATCAAAAGGATCTTGATGCATCAACGAGCGGGGTTCAGTAGTACATAAACCACTAACCGTGCTGAAGCCCAAGTGCTTTGTGATGTTCTCGACATGTTCCAGGCTACCTGCGTGCAATGTGAAACATGTCGGGTGTGGTTCAACGCTGTCAACTGCTGTCGCTGTTCGTCAACATGAAAGAGACACTCATCACATTATACGAACGATGTGCACTTACGGATTATGGCATGGACTCGTTCTAGAGAATCACTGTCTGAAAAATCGTTGTCAGCAAGTCGGTTCTCTCGGCAGTATGTGACATCCAGAACAATCTAGACCAAAGAAAGAGGCACACATTCAGGGCAGAACCTAAGAAACATGCCGCGTAATTGCCCAGGCGTCTTGACCGTGTTAGGCACGGTCGGAAGAATAGGCAAGCGGATTCGGTCGAGCAACATGCAACAATGCAGACGCACACAGAGCGTCAAATACAAGCTACTCAACTGCAAATTTCACTGCTAGTAGACGTAATACATACATAATGAGCAACTAGATTGCATTAAGTTGGCTAAATAATAAGATACAATTGTTGGTGTTTAACGTCCCAGAATCGCGCTATGATTATGAGTGACGCCGCGGTGGAGGGCTCCTGACATTTCGACCACCTGAGGCTCTCTAACGTGCAGCTAAATCTAAGCAACACGCCCTCAAGCATGTTCACCTCCATCGAAAATTCGGTGCATTAAGTTCGCGCTACGGCACCGGCATTTGCTATCTAAGCAAGTGCTATCGACACGTGCTTAAAGCAGGCCTGGATATGATCTGCACTGCACGCTACATGCAGTTGCCATATCGCACGCATGCATCGGAAACGAAACTGCTGCACCAAGACCGGAGGCGGGACGCTACGCACGCGATGCGTACAAGCAGACCTTAATCAGACCACTCGAACCTTTGCCAAGTCCTGTAGAACTTCCTTGTTTGCCGTTTCCCTTGATATCTCTTCCCGTCTGAGGCGGCTTTTGAGCTCCAGCAGCTTGGAGAAGGACGACTCCAACAAACTCGGCACTGGAAAAAGAAGTGATCGAGTACCGTCATCGCGGTTGAGACCACGCGGTTTACGAAGTATCGAGTCCTCTCGGCTGTAACGGCAACGTGCAGTCGCGGTATCGAGCTAGAAGACACGATGTAAACACAAAGCGACGCTGACAACTAAAAGTAGGAGGAGCGACTAGGCAGGAGTGCTCTGGAGTGGGTGGTTAATATGGGCTCGCGTCTTCGTTTTTGGCGAGCGTTGGAGACTCGATTCCTGAGTGTAGGTCAGCACTAGTTATAGGTGAACAGTAACAGGTGCCTTACCGACAGACTTGATCTTCAGATCTTCGATAATTCGTATCAAATCATCGACTTCATCGGTGATTTCTTTTGCAGCACCCTCCTCCATTCTGCACACTGTTTAGCGGATTGTTTCTTGTCTTCGCTCAGTTTCGTCGTAAAAAATTAAAGTGTTCAACAATTAAAAACGCTATGAAATTGTAATCAATGTAACACGTTTAATTTTAAAAAAACGTTATAATTTGCAAGCTTTAGTACTTTATCACAATAAAATGAAAGTTTGTGCGCAATTTCAGAGGCCGTGTTATTGCTCGTATTCTCAAACGTTTGCGATGTTTCGCTTTTCAACATAAGGTCCGTTCGATTCACCTGCACCGGTAGGAACCGGTTCACGGCTGTGCACGCGAAGTTCAGAAATTGTGCAGCGTGAGTTCAGCGGTGCAGGCACAGCACGACACCCGAAACAAATGACGATGTGCCGACAAGGTGTTGGCCTTATTTCTTTTCGGTTAATTTACACCATTCAGCAAACACTGACCTATGGCGAAACGCACATGCGGACAATTTATGAGTCGCAAACATCTTGGCAAAACACACCGCATTTGTAGAGGCGGGTACGGCGCCTAAGCCACCTACGTCTAAGTGCTGCGTCGTCTGCTCAGCTGCACGCGCGCCTGCACCAAGCCGGCACCGTCAGCGAAGGAGGTGCAGGAAAATCGTGAGCCGGTGCTGCACCTCTTCTGCACCTTTCGAAACGAATGGCAGGGTTCAGCGGTCGTCAATGCTGCACCGCTGAAACGAATGGTAAGGTGCAGCACCTCGTGAACTGGTTCACGTGGTGCAAGCGAATCGAACGGACCTATAAAGTGCCGTGCGTTGCGCGCTGTCACTTTTCTTTTGCTGGTGATTTTAACGTGTGATACTTTACGGACGACTTCACGTTGCAAAAATTACAAGACAGCTAGCTAGTATTATCGTAATACTTCTCTCGGCTGGCAACAATTCATAGCCTCATCTGGCCACTGTGTAAATGTCAAATGCAAGTATCGATATTCGCAATATTCTCAAATACTCGGTTAATATAAAATAAAATTTTGTTATATGGCAATTTTCAATTAAAGGTTACGTGCTTTGTAAAATAATACGCCAACTACGCGAAACATATTGCTAGAAATTGATGCACTACCTAATAATAATGCAAAAACTTGTTTGTGTCACTGAATACTGTTTAGAGGTTTAAATACTTTTGGTAATTAGTTCAAGGCTCTGCTAGCCAACCGTCTTTATCACGGGGAGCCTGGTTGTGCCAAGGATCGTAAAGTGAGGCCAGCCTTGCTGACACCGTGTAACAACACTCACGCGCCGCGCGATTAATTTGCGTTGGTGCAATTTTTGGACCCCGTGAGGGGCGGTTGTCTCAAATTTAATAAAAGTTCTTCGGGTCGCGCTGGTCAATCATGGAAGAGTTCATGTGTTAGACATCGCTCAAGTGGCGCCTGTACGTAGTTAATGAATAAAATGGGTAAGCAGTTGCATAAAATGATTGATATGTAGGGTTTAACGTCCCAAAACCACCATATGGCAACGAGAGACGCCGTAGTGGAGGGCTCCCGTAATATCCACACCTGGGGTGCTTTAACGTGCACCCAAATCAGAGTGCACGGGCCTACAGAATGTTCGCCTCCATCGACAAAGTTGCATAAATTGATGTAGCTGTGGGAGTGCCCGAGTGACATTTCAGAAAAATGCGTTACGGAAGCGCGTTATGAAAAGTTCGACAATTTCTGCCTCGTTTCAACCTGCGTGCATGAACTCATTGAGAGTGAGCTCAAGTGAATTGGTCATTTCAGTAATGAATGCTTGCACCAGCATCAGAGGGTAGAAATAAGTATTCAACTTCTTACCTTGATTTCTGTAATTGCTATTCCTTATCCTTTTTTATAGCCATGTGCTCTTTGCCTCCCCTAGCCTCTGTAAGGTGTGGACTGCTTTAGTAAATGGGCGTAGCCAAGAAGGGGAAGGGGGATTCTAACTACCTCGGAATTTTTCAATTTTCTTGCATATATAACATGCACATATACAAGCACATGCACCATACGCATGTAAGGTATGATTTAACTCCCCCCACTCAAAAAAAAAGACAAATTTCTGGCAGTATCCCTGCTTTATTACCGCTACTGCTCATATGTCCAGCATGTTCCAAGCCTCGCAGTCTTGTGGTGTGAAACATGTTTTAGACCGTGATCCACAGCGTCACATATCAGAAAGTGATATGCGACGCTGTGTTCAAATTGCACCTTTCCGATTGCTAATGCAGTGCTTGCATAGAAGCTTCCTGCTAAAACATTTTGCTTACTGTACTCCTCGATTAGGCCGAGCCTCCGTGAATGGCGGTGTGCTGTTAAGGTGTGTGTCGGTACCTCAAGACCTTTTCGTAAATGAAAGCCACGTGCGGGTTGGTTGTGCCTTCCAAATTTCTCATTTACTTCATCGATGACATGTATGTGACCACTTTTTAAAATCCAACTTGTATGAAATCCATTTCTTGATTCCTTGTTGTATCTTATCCAGGATTGAGTACCTGGCATTTCCAGATGGAACTAAGTGTTCATTGTTCAGAATCGATTCAATGGTTTTTTTTTAGGTCAGTATGAAGGTAATAGAAAGGATTTAAACTTCAAGCTCTTACAAGATGACATGCAAGATTAATAAATGAGCACAAGACTTGAATGACAATGGAAGTTTCGGACTGTTGTTGTCCCGGATTCACACCAGTAATCACATAAGCTAAATGAATTCAGCAGTCCATAATACTTTACACTACTGATCTCCACTAAACCAGCAAGTTATTATAAACAGCGAAGCGGTGATCACACGGCCTCGCAGTGTGACGAGAGGCGAGGACGAAGGATGTCGAGGCTTGGAGGAGGGGTGAACTTTCGAGAAATGTGCCGAGATGGGGTGAGGGTGAGACTAGGTTGTAATGCAAAACACGTCAGCGCGAGTGCTCAGGACTTTGCACTTTCAAAATGGCATTTCTCGTTCCCCCCAACTGAAGAAGCTGCCCGAACGAGCCTCTCGTCAGTGAGCCAACAGCAATGTTCGCACAATAGAGTCCAAAGCAAAGCGACAACAAAAGGGAGACTTGAAAAATGTAGAAGTATGATATAGCCTGATGAAGGAGAGGTGTCAGCTTCACCGTTCCGCCAGTGTTCATGAAATGGAGCTGGCTGGATTTTGTAATTTTATGTATTAGAAAACGTGCCATGCAACTTTACGGCTGCGGAAGAAAGACACAAAGCGGTTTTGCACTGTACGCTTCTTGCACTCAACAGGAGATGTGGGCCTAGGTAGTGAATTCACAGAAAATTCAATATTGTGAGTAGCGAACCAAATCAAATGCTTTTCATATAATTCTTAATAATGAACAGCCATTCAGACAGTTAATTAATTACATTTATACTGCATTTGATGCCTATAGCCATACACATTAATTATTAGTGCCACACAGAAGCTTATGAACTATGCTTGTCACAGAGCAGGTATCCCCTTTCACATTCACTCATACCACAAGGTATGAAAGAGACAGAATAAACATTATATACAAGTTACGACATTGTCAACTGACAATATCTTGTCTGGGACAAGATTGCCACCATAAAAGCCAGCCAGAACTATGGCACGTACATTCAGAATCCAAATGCTGGCAGAAGCAAAGAAATGAGGCTGAGATCAGGTACTTTGATGTTTTATTCCACATCTTCACAACCCTATCACTCACTGACACACACGCACATCCAAAACACTCACCCACAACAGCAGCACCTGGTGTGACCGCAGCAACACAGACAGCACATGACTAGGAGTTCATAAAAGCACGCGGGAGAAGAGCTGCTGCTGCTAGTGAGTTTTGTAGATCCATACTTCCTTGCCCACGTACGCGGTTGGGAAGTGAGTGTGAAGGAAGCCCTTCAAAAACTTCAAGTCAAAGTCCACCACAAAGTCAATCATGTGCTTGTACAGGCTGTTGTAGATGACCACGTAGTCTGTCATGCCTCCGAGACCGTACATTTTCAGGCCATTGACGGGGTCCAGGAAGAAGTCCCGAGCCTCGTCCTTGTGGTTCTTCTTCTTCTTGATGTTCGGTTCGCACGTTAGGAACTTCATCTTGACGTTGCTCCGGTGAATGTGACTGAAATGTGTCGGTGGAAGAGCCGTTAACCGATATTAACAAAAGCAACGGCAAATGCACTGCAACATCACAGAAACAAAGCCAAAGCAACTGTGTGCTTGATGAAAAGCAGAGGTCATATTCATGCATCAGACAAAATAGAGAAAAGAAATAAATTATGGGCGGTGTTTGGTGCTGGCGCCACTGCCGTGCAATGATGCAGGTGCACGGCACAACAACCGCGGCGAAACAAACGAACAGAAACGAGCACTGGAGATGGCCATATCTCTGTATTGTCCTTGTTGTGCCTGAGCAAGTTATGTCCTTTCTCTCTCTAGTACACATATTTTATTTGAGCCTTGGAGACAATCTGTGTGTACTGACTAAGGTTTATCACTGCATTCTACAAGAACGGGCTGCAGATGCCTTCCTGATGTACAGTCAGCCGCCAAACGATATGGACCACGCGAGCAAACAGCAAAATTGCCATTCACGCTGCCTAGCGGCAAACCATCTGCCGTTGAGAGCGAATAGCTCACCACTAGGCGACACAGAAAGCAGTGTTGGCACGTGCTTGCATGGTCCATATTGTTTTGTGCCCAACTGTAGCTGAACGAGCCTTCAGACATGATCTGCAGGTGACCTCACCAGTGGTGTCTGGTAGGGCTGAACATTATTCGGTTGATTATCGCAGCTCATCAAATTAAAGCTCTGTTCCCCAGCGTGTTTCATCCCCTGTTGCAATTGGCTATAGCCGACATTCACATATAAAAACCACACTAGTATCTTTTTGTTCACTTGAACTCCTCTATCCATAGTTCTACACAGCATCTGAGATTTCGAACTCCCTGGTAATTTCTTTTTTTTTTTTCCAGAAACTTCATGCAATGCTCAGGTAGAACCCGTGAGAAAAATGTCAGCTCCACCCACAGCCATCACCATCCCTCTCACAGAGAATTAGCATAAATGCTCCACCCACTAGCAATTACTCATTTTCATGACATCACGCACATTTAGAGTGATATACTAATACTTGATGGCTGAAAATGTGATACAGAATTACATTCGAGTCACTCGTTTTAGGTTGGAAACTTCAATGTCCTGGTGAATTCCGTTAGGGATTCCGACATTGCTGCTCAGCCAAACGTAATGTGTAGGTGATAAACAACCCAGAACTCTTAAAATGGGTAGTACTATTTGCATTAGCCAAGAAAAAGTGCTAGCGGTTCAAGTGGACATCAGCTAGCGCACGGTGAAGAGCAGATGCACCGAAGTTCTGTGGGCAGAGCTTAAACCTTAGCTTGTAGCCGAGTATCGTTACGTACACAACTTTAAAACATCCCAGTGCAATATGGGGTCACCTGTAGAAGGGCGTTGAGTGACAAGGCATGAGGAATGTCACGCTGCCACCACCAGGCTGTTTGTCCAGCTCCTTGGACAGGTAATCCATTGCCTCCAGGGTGCCCTTCTGGTGGAACAGGCCAAAGTACAGGGCAGGCGGGAAGAAGGCCACTCCGAGCAGGATGGCCAGCGTGATGCCCCACGAGCGAGGCAGGCGCGCCATGCCCGCCCCGCACACGCACATGGCCAGCGGGAAGACGGGAAGCAGGAAGCGGAACTCCTTGTGGCTTACCAGGCTGCGACATCAGTAGCGTCAAGTTATCAAGATCGAGTGCGTTCTAGCCGGCGGAGTGCACTCTTGTAAACTTAATGGTTAAAAAGTGACTTCCGGTGCGCGACTGCAGATTCTGCTTTGCGCGCTCCATCCCAGAGACAATGCACGAGAGCTCGCACCTGCAACGGCTCCCATAAAAACGTGTTTCCGACTCTCCTCCAACGAAGTACGTTCTCCTTCCTCGCTCGTTCCTACCGCAGAAGCAACGTAACACTCGCCCTGTGATGCTTTCGTGCCCCTAGACCGAAAGCAGTAGAAGGAAATCACCGTTAAGCTAAGCTCAAAAAGTGTTGAACTCGAGCTCGTTCGAGTGTATTCCTTTAAAGTTTGGAGCCGTTATTAACAGCGCTCATTTTCAGTCTCAGGTTCACACTCTCGTTGTCCTTATACAAAACACGTTTTCTCCGACCCTCTGATAGCCTGCATTTTTCAGCAGCAACAGCCGAAACAATAATTCAGTGCGTTGTGTTGGTTGATCTGCCGCTCATGAAATTCTGTATGAGGCCAGGAAACCTCATTGGTTCCAAGTTTGGTTCCAGTGTGAATAAAACAATTCATACAAATATATATGCAGATGAACCTCTATATAATGAAGTTGGTGAAATTGGTAATTTACTTCGTAATACTAAAACATTTGCATTCAACCTTGCAAGGTGTGGTTGCCAAAGGGAAGAAGTGCCGTAAAATTTTAATGTGACAGCACAAAAACAGTTCAATAGTACGCAAAAAAAATTTCTTCAACCTGAGAACCGATGACCACAGCTCGATGCAGTGCCAGTAAAGACATCATCATCACAGAATTCAAACTTCACACATAAACCCCCCCCAAAAAAAAGCAATTCCTACACACTGTGGCAATTAAGGATAGTGCATTCGCTAAAGCTGTGTGCAATTCAACCGTATGCTTGCTGGCCCCAGCAGAACATTGCATTTCATTCCTATTTGCCTTTCTCCGGGGAAATTTTGCCGTGTTGAAATTATGGATAAATGCGCATTATTACAAGGTTTAACCATGTGTATATACACAAGATTAATTTTCACGACCATTGATGAGTATCGTCATCATGGGATTTTCTAACAAAATGACTGATGATGATGCATACTTATCATGAATAAAAATGAGTCTCACAGGGAACCGATGAAGACTATTCTTGTCACATATATGCCTAGGCTTTCGTACTACAGCCAATTTTCATTGTAATGCCATACAGTCGAGCCACATTTGAGTTACCGTTTCTTTTTACATAATTAGTGAAATGAAGGAACCCCACAGAATTGGGAGAATGGTACCATTTTATTCAAAAAAAAAAAAAGAAACCCACACAAAGTGAGCAAAACATTTTTTTTTTTTTTTCAGTAATTCTGGCACATTTTTTTTTTCTTGTCTTTTGGTCACGAAAGTGTCTATCTTCAATGCAACAATGCATGTTTATCGACGATTTCAACTAGACGAAATTTCAGTACTGTCACAGAGGAAGCAATGAAATTCAAACACCAGCAAGGGCCAGTGGTCGTATGGCTGAATTATATATGCTTATAATCTTTAATCACACTGAACAAATGACATAGACACCACACCAAGTACAGTGGACTCTCAGTTAACGAAACCTGAAGGGATTGGGAAAATAAGCTCCATTTAACAGGAGTTACGTTTACTGAGAGGTGAACATAGGTTCAGAGAACAAGCCCGAAACCAAGCATTGCAGAGGCAATACTTCCGTTTAAGCAGCGGTTCTGTTCAACAGATTTCCGTTTACTGAGAGTCTACTGTACTATAACTCAAGGCAAATCCTGAATAAGTTCCCAGTCTCCTCCACTCACCTGAGCACCAGCATGTGCCAGATGACAACTGCGGCAAGAAGGCGGCAGCGGCCGACTCGCACGCCCAGCACAAAGGGCAGCAGTTGCAGCGCCAGCACCGCAGGTAGCCCCACGGTGAAGTACCAGTGCCAAGGATGTTTGCCGTAGTGGGCACCAATGTCGGCCACCAAGTTGAGTCGCACAAAGTTCCACGGCGTGCACACCCATCGCTGGTAGAACCACCGGTCACACAGCATCAGAGCACCAAAGCAGATCAGGCTGGAAGGACATGACAGCTTATGAGTCATTTTAGAACGATCAAGAGGTTGGATCGATGGGGTTTCAATCGACAAAGCGATTCACGGTCATTTCACGCCTTTGTTCTGTTACATGCTCGTTAGCACTATTAAGAACGTGCAAAACTAGTTGACTCAATGCTCAGAGATTTCTTTCCTTTCGAAAACTACATTACATGGAGTGTCCTATCTGCACTCCCTGCTGCGCAGTGGTGTTCTAAACCTTTTTAACTGACGGCTCATTACTGCCGTGGTTATTTTGTTAACTTGATGTACACCAAATTTTGGGTAGTGTGACAGAAGCTTAAGACAGACACAAGTGTCACTTTGTAACACGAACACCATGACGTGCATGTCTTCTAAATCATGATCTAACCTCCTGCATGTTTGCCCTCTCCGGGCCATTTGGTCAGCTTCATTACATACCACAATTTGCAAAGCATGACATGGGTTTATGAGGAGTATTAATGGCTTGTAATGAAAGGAATATCTTCACCTGTGTGTCGTGTGTGCTGCCTGCTTCGCATAACATCTCAACAGGTGGTCCCCACAGTAAGTGAGAACCAGTGTCATGAAAGCACTGCACTATAGAAGGAGCAGGTAGCGTCTTCTCTGTGTTTCGTACTATGCTGCGATATCTAACACATTGCTTTTTCAGCAATCCACATCGCAAACGGAAACAGAGTGGCGCCACCTTTTCCGGGGTGTCTGTCTCGGGTGTAGTAGCAGTTTCCAAACTGAAAAGAAATCCAAGAGCATTGACCTAACTATTCTTAAGATGGACACAGAGGAATTTTCAATTGATTTGAGAAGTGCTAAAGTAAAAGAGAAGGAATTATCCGAGGAGAGAAATCCGCTACTCCACAACAGCGTTCGTGGGTAGCATGACAGAGTGAGTCAGATGAGTATAAAAAAGCAGTTTTTGCCAAACCAGAACAGATGACATGACGCGTATGTTGCCACTATTTACATGTTCTTCGAGGTGCATGATGCTCAAGAATCATGATACCGCCTTTTATTCTTTTCCCAGACTTTATTCTGTAACATCTTTGCTCTTCACTGGTGGTCACTACTCGGTATCGGCTGCAGCATGGTCACACGTTATTTTTACTTTGTTCATCCCGTCATTGTTTTTCAATTACTCGTATACGCATACATCATTTGTCTAACTGAGCGACCACATGCAACAACACCTCAGAAGTAGCCATGGTGTCACCTTGTGAAGGCCAATCTCTTGAGCAGGAACGTCCTGGAGTGCGACGCCCTTGCAAAGTGCAGAGCAACGAGGGGGAGCCACAGGACCAGAGCCGTGGGTCGGATCATGCACGACAGGCCCACCAGCCACAGGTAGCTCCATGAGGTGCTGTAAGCGGGAGTAGCCGTCAAGAACACTTCACAAAGAACACATTATTACACCATTTCTTCAGTGGCGCAAGGGACGAGCGACACCCTTGGTTTTCATTCGAGCGCTTCCAGTAAATAATTTACATCCAGTTGTCCCATAGTATTCAGGAAATGTGTTTCAAAGATACAACTGGGACGAAATTGATAGTACTGGTTTAAGTTAAGAGTTACATAGAGAACTAATTGCCATGCGTACTTATATAAATTTTTTTTTGTGATAGAGCATCACCTTCGAAAACCTGTCACCACTGCTCGTCACATGCTTCGCTTGCAATGTTTAGAAACGTCACAACTGCTTCAGACTGTTCTGTTAAGATAACATGCAGGCCACGATTAGCCAAGTTTATTCTAGCACGAGCTCCAGTGGTAATGCTGGAACAGTTTATAAGGCTAGTGTGCATTTCACAGTTGAGGAGATTATTCGACGATCGACAACTGTGTGCGCCGATATTGTTGCACTTTGAGTGTCATTCTTATTTTCTGGGGGCAAGTTCACCAAACACAGAGTTTCATCTCTACTGGCTATCAGTGCTTTTTTCACACACTATCGCATGACAATAGGATATCGGAGCGTAAGTTTAGCTAAACGAAGGGCCAATGAACTGTCACAATAATTAAGAAAATTGAGTGATTTAATTGAGAAAGCAGATAGCCTTCCTGTAAGCAGCTGGGAACGTTGCAGCACCTGGCAGAGCAGATATCAGCGGTGAGTTTCTCTCTATTGGACCTATGAAATTAACTTCGGCATTGTGAAGGAACACAATGTTAACCCAAGAAATACACTGCAACGCACGAGCATTGACGTGCAAATGTCACTATCAGACACCTATGTCAGAGACGAGGGTGGCTTCCAGAATTCTAATTTTCAAGGCAAACATGTTTTTTTTGCCACATTTCGCCTGTTCCGGCCGATTTCGCTCAACTAAGATAACTTACTGCTGGCATTGACCGAGACTGTGACCTTTGAATAACGTGTCCATTGCTCCACCAACCAAGCAGCAGTGGCAGTAATCTTCCATCCGCCTTATGGGGTATATATATGCATTTGTGATGCATGTACATGCATGTGCATGCGATGCATGTACATGCACGTACATTGATTGATTGATTTGTTGGGTTTAACGTCCCAAAACCACCATTTGATTATGAGAGACGCCGTAGTGGAGGGCTCCGGGAATTTTGACCACCTGGGGTTCTTTAACGTGCACCCAAATCTGAGTACACGGGCCTACAACATTTCCGCCTCCATCGGAAATGCAGCCGCCGCAGCCGGGAATCAAACTTGCGACCTGCGGGTCAGCAGCCGAGTACCTTAGCCACTAGACCACCGCGGCGGGGCATGCGTGTACATGTGACTTGTTATTCAAAGATTGCAGGTTATTGTTTTGCCTATTTTATGCCAGCTGCAAGTTATCTTTTCGTCCGTTTACACCACAATTACAACAAACATCACCTTCACTTTCCTTGGCTTTCTTGTCTGCTAGTTCTAATTAATAGATTTAGGTAATGCCCTGATAAATTTTATCAGAGATTCTGACACTGCTGCTCAGCCAGAAATGTTCTAGGTATTGACGAGGACCATTTAATTGGTTAAGTTCCAATTAATGGTAAGTAATGTCCTGGTAAATTTAATCAAGGGTTCTGACATGACTGCTCAGCCAGAAATGTTCTCGGTATTAACGAGGACCTTACACTGGTAAAATTCAAATTAATAGTATTAGGTAATGTCCTGGTAAATTTAATAAAGGATTCCGACATGGCTGCTCAGCCAGAAATGTTCTAGGTATAAACAAGGACCATTTAACTCTAAAAACACGTAGCATTTACCTTAGCTGAACAAAAAGTGCTTAGGGTTTAGTTGTAAATCTGCTAGCACCACTATCTTTCACAGGTGAAGAGCAGGCACACCTCGATTCTGTGGGTGCACCTTACATTTATATAACGCTCAATCCTCATTATAGCAAAGTTGCGTCTTGCACGAAAAGTTTGCTATATCCAAAAATTTGTTATTAAGGTATATTTCTAACACTATAGCTATTGCAAGACTATTTTTATTTACTTCGTTATAACCGATACTTTGTTACATCCAGGTCCATTATATTGAGGTTTGAGCGTGCGCATAGTTTGCAACCGACTATGGTACACGCTAACCTCGGCTGCTTCTGACCGCCCCACGGGTACATGGAAAGGGCCCCAGCGGTGAACACTTGCTCGGCGACATTGGTCAATGTGCGCGAGGCGGTGTAGTGCAGAAACCACGAGCACAGCAAGGACACAGCTGTCCAGCAGGCCCCCTCGTAGCCAAAGAGGCGGCGGCCCAGTTCCACGGTCCAGTAGTCTCCGATGGCCGACATGAAAGCCTGAACGAGGCGTGGCACCATAGTCTGCAAGTAGAGCAGAACATCAAGAGGATGCGTTCACCAAGAGGCTAATCTGCCACGATGGATCAGTGGCAAAGGTGCTTGGCTACTGTCCTGAAGGCCACGGGTTCAATCTCTGCCGCGGCGGTCACATTTCGGGGGAGGCAAAATATTTGAGGCCGTGTACTGTGTGATGTGAGAAGAGTGAAGCAAAACAGAGAAGCGAGAGGGTTGGTACTGATTCATTACGGCATAAATGTGGTGTTCACATTCTTGTCTTCGTCTTTTTTCGTGCTACATTGACGCCATAATTTCAGTACATGTTAAAGAACACCAGAGGGCCAAATAGTCAAACTTTCCGGAGCCTTCACTACGGCGTCTCTCAAAATCAGATTGTGATTTTAGGACATAAAAGCCCAGATATTAATGTTATTAGTACTATTACTAAGAAGCTTTCGCCAAGTATTTGCCACAATCTCACTCAAAATGTGGAGATTGTGTCATGCTCAGTCAGGAAATACAATAACGAATGTCAGATTTCAGATGACAGAAGATTTACAGATGACAATTGACAGCATTCCTGGAGCACTACCAGCAACCCAACATCGCTGTCGCACAGCAACACGTTTGCTGCTTCTCCACAAAAACATTTATGAATTTTATTTCTTCATTTATTTACAGAATACTGCAGGCCCAAAAATGGGGTCCAAGCAGGAGGAGCGAGAGTATCTATACATATCAAGGCAATGTGTATAAACATTAGCTAGTGTCAAGATATACTTGAAGAAAAATGAAATATATAAAAGCAATAATGTGAAACAAAAGAACCCACAAACCGAAGAATAATTTGCAAATAGCAACGTGAAGTGTAAGGCAACAAACGCAGCAACACAGTCACATACAAAGTTGATACACACTTGAAATACAAGGTGTCATGAGCATGTCACACATAACCTGACTAGACTAGGGATAAGAGAACAGTAGATAACGAATTAGTGTAGGTGTCGATAATGGTATACTGATGCCAGTAAGGTGAAATACAGACAAAAAATGTCGTATAACTCGCTGTACTATACCCTAATATGAATGACCCAGAGCACCTTTCAGGGACTCTGCCATCATTTCTGCAATAGGAGCACTAGACTGCTCGAGGAACGACAATGCTGTAGTTATTGCGAGCGCTGTTATAACATATGATACCTGATAAAATTCCTGTTCGTTTAAGTACATTTCGTACATTCTCCCGCAGGCTGCCATTCTTTTTTTTTTTTTTCTGAAAACCGGGCTTTTTTTCTGCTGTTCGCCAGAAAATGTTACATGTTCCTGAACACTCAATATTACAAGAATATTTTTGCCGAATGTATCCATCCAAACGGGCCACAAGCGACACAGTTTTACCGAGTGTGAAGTATTTGCTCACTTACAATATATCACAAGTTTGCAACCTGGAGCTGGTCACATTCATAGAGTTTCCTATAAATAAACTAGAGGTAACTTTGTTGGTAGTATGTCTGCGAGCTGCGATGTTTTCTCTTCGCCATTCTTTTCTCATCAGAAAATGTTACATGTTTCTAAACACCCAATATTGGAATAAATATAAACATTGGACATACACAATGAGTCAATGTGTGCAGTTAGCAAGGATCGTTTTCACCTTCACATTTTCAGATTTGTGTAGTCCAACATACGTACTGTATATGAACATCCATTATATACATACGAACAACCGTTACAAACATAATGGCAGCTAAGGTATTTTGAAAACTTACCACTGTGAATACGGTGTCAATCTTGAACATCTTAAGCAGGTAGTACTGGGCCGATATGAACATAGGGTACACAGAGCTTCGAATGGCATACTTCCATTCCCAGGTCTGGTAGCCATACCTGAAATTAATATAATTTAAAAAAACTTTATAATAAATTTGTCAGCGTATACATGGCACCCGCCAACTTGTTCGCACTAATATTCAGTCAAAGCACTAATCAACTGTTTCTCGATCATTTAGCAAATAAACACGTAAGAAAAGTAAGCGAAATTCAGCTATATTTTACCCGAAAACAAACTTGTGCGCCACTTCCAGGGACTGCCAGTACTCGTCGGGCACGAACGCAGTCCTCACGAAAAAAGCTCCTCCGCACCGAAACAGCACGAACATGAAGAAAAAGAACTTTTTGGGAAACTCCTGGCTCGTTTCTGCGACATATCAACGGCGAATCAATTACCGACATAACACAGACGCCTTGATCGGGCTATTTCCTAAGTGATCCATCACTGCAAGTAGCGCAACGCCCAACTAAGGACTGATACATGTGGCCTGCCTTTGCTGTATGTGCCCTAAGTGAAGTGTTGCGCTACATAGAATGATGGGCCACATAATACAAACCTGACGGGCCAGATCGATCGCGATCTAGCTGCAATCGACGCACCTACTTCCATCGCCTCTTGTTTAGCCGTTTCCGCTTTCACTTTTTCTTCCGTCGCTGGCTCCTTTTTGTCAGCCATAGACGATGGCTACACGTTTCAGCTCCGGACAAATGAACGTATTTTGACGGCGGCAGGGTGCCCTGACGCTTCAAACATACCAAGATTCGAACACGGGCACGGACGCGACGTAGCGAAGATGGCCCACTTTCTTTTAGTCTTCTTCCAAGTAGCCGCCGCCACTGAAATCGATTTCGAATCCACTGAGAGGCCAGTTTCGCTTCCAGGTCACGTTTCGCCTCAAAGGTTTGCCAAGTTATTTTATACATGACCTACTACACTCCTGACCTGTTCAGATAGCGGGGTTCCTATGGGAGCGCGTGTCCCCGCTCTCGTTCAATCGCTCGCCGTAGGTGGCGCTACCTATAACCTGTTCGTCTGCTACTTTACGGCTGTTTGGACGGCGCTAGAGTAAGAACGGCTGCATTCCGTGATGAACAGCCGGCATATATGTGACTATTTTTTCACTTAGATGACTGGTCAAGTAAGCTGTTCAGTGTGACGAAAAATTTATTGCACACTGGTGGACAAATGCGAGAATCCGTAGACTTACATAGTGTAGGACAGCATATGTGATGTTGCGTCCATTTAATTGCAAAGAATTTGTGAATGACTTTTGAAATATTTGTTTCAAAATTATTTTTCATTAGTGCATAATAATTACGCAATATGAGTGCTCTGTTGGCCGAAATATGACCACGAACACTCAAGCTGACGTCAGCGAACAGGTGCTGACTAGCGCCACAGTGCTCCTAAGTTACGGCCCTAGCGGCAGAAGGTATGAACTAGAACGTGGGCGCTGGAAGAGGTGCTCTCTGGGCAGGTCAGGAGTGTAGTAGGTCATGATTTTATACGTCTATCACTAAGACTTTCAACATGGCCGTTATGACGTTTTGTGAATATCCATAAAAACATAGCCTCCGAGATTTGTAAATAAATGAGGTTTATGGGGTAGTATACATGTAATAAACCAAAAACTAACCTAAAGGTTGAAACTATACGGATGCTGACATTATACAACTTTTTATGTTTACCATTAACTTGACTTACAACATGGCGCGATTTTAGTTGCAACATGGAGTTGCCTCCATCAATCAAGGGGAAAAAGAAAAAGACATTAAAAAAAATGTAATTGTTATACTTGAACACACCCTGCAAGAACGACGAAGAAACCCTGAGCCGGAAATCTTCTGAAGCCACAGGCGGCCACAGGTACACACAAGGCTTGCGCTTGTCTTCGCTGCTCCGTGTTTTTGTGTTCCTCTCAGAAATGTTTTGGTTGATCTGTCCAGTCGTTTGCGTTTCCGTCATTTTACCGGTTTCCGTGTTCTGTGTTTCCGTTCCGTCGTACGGACGACGCGAAGAAGCACGTGTCACTTGTGATGTTTGATGCTCTCGAAAGCCTGACAGACGCCTCGAGACACAGTTATCGTTCGCGCCAACGGGCCAGTTATGACGCCTGCAAAGGGTGCCGACAAAGGAGGTACCAGCAGTTCGAGTTCGTCACCCGTGTCTAAGCGGCGGAAGGAAGTCCGTTGTGCTGAAAGTGAACAGCGAACTCGCCTCCGGTAAAACTAAGGACGAGCTGAGAGCCGCCTTTGCGGAGAAGAAACCCGGTCGTTTCGGTGAGCCGACCTTGCATCTTTCGGCGCAGCCACAGTGTGCGAAAAGGATTAGTATCGCAATTCGCGCGCAGGCACCGCTGTCGAGCTGATCACGGACCCTTTCAACGTTTGCTTGCTGCACAACTTGCTGGAGGACGAAGACAGCGTGGACAGCCTGGTGAACGAGCTGTTCGACATCGAGTTCCACGCTAAAAACAACGACCTGTACAAGTTCCATCAGGTAACTTCCCTAACCGCTTTGCGCCGCCCAGGCGTTTGCCGACGTTACGTTTTGGTTTCGGTTTGCAGTCGGATGACCTGCAAAACTTTGACACGCCGTACATACGCGCTTTCAGGTAAAACATGCTCTTTCCCACGATTGATTTTGGCGTGATAGTGTCAGTGTCCCGCTGCTCCTAAAGATTCGCCGTTCATGTTGGAAAAAACTTAGGCAATGCCTGGAGGGAACGCTGGCGCCATGGCTCCGGGACGTCACAGGGATTCCGCTTGATGGCACGATCAGCCTAACCTGTTCCAAGTACTCGTACACGGGTAGGTAACGAAAATACTCGCTTTCTCAAGGGGATACAAATGGAATGGCTAGATTTGTATGCGGCGTGACATTTTGCTTCTTTTCCTTCCATTGGTGCAGATGTGCTTCTTTGTCATGACGATGAGTTGGAAGGCAGACGGATAGCGTTCATCCTGTATCTGACGCCTGGTTGGACTGCTGAAGATGGGGGGCTGTTGGACTTGTTCGACACCGACAGCAATGGGCAGCCGAGGGACATTGTTCGCTCGATATTGCCCAGGTGTGTAGACTGCGCGGGCATTCCATTTTGTGTGTGTAGCATATGTAGTCAGGGCTCCAAAACTTTTTTATTCCCAGCTGTGTTAAATAAAAAGTCTTTCACGTTGTGGGAAAAAATAAAAAAAATCGTAACGGACGTACCAGTGCACCACTCTAAGCCGTCTTGTCAAATAGCCATTCCTTCTGTGTACCTAACATAGGCCAGAAAATGGAACAAGTTAACTCATTATTTGCATTTATGGGGACATTTTCCCTATGGGTTCCTTCGATTATCTGTCCCTGATATTTCTGAACTGCTCATGGTGTAATACATACATATAATAATACATGCTAATTGGCTGAAGGTAGTGCCTTGGCTAGTCTCATCCCAAGTACGTGTATTAAGACACTACATCAATTGGAGGTAGATGCAAACTTAACCACTTTATGCAAACGGTGACAGTGTCGCATTATATCTCCTGAGAATATACAGTGTCTTCATCCAAGGGGCAGTGATGTGTTCAACTCTGTGCAGTTAAGGGTCATTTGAGAACGCATGGCTCAGAGTCGAAATAACTAACATTACTCTACCCCCCTTTTATTCTACAGCGCCGTTCATTGAGCGTTCCACTGGAGTGGTGTATTCTATTCTAATCTCGTATGGGATATTCTTCATTGGAGAAGCCAATGGCTGTGTTAATGGCCATTCGGTGCAACACTCACAAATATTGCAAAAGCTAGGTGACAAGTTCACACATTTAGTTGCGCATGTTAGTAATGGTACAGGATGTGTGCGAAGGGACGACGGTTCTGGGTAGGAGTAGTGACAAGACTGCATGTATTATTTTAAAAGCATATCATACTAAGAAACTTGATAACAAGTCTGTTAGCAGCCAATTTCTTACCCTCTTTGATGCCGAGTTTCATCTGCTGCATGCAGTTGGTTGGTCTTAGATAGGAAAGAAAAAAATGAAAGGTCACATGTTTGTTGCAATCATTCTCTGCATGGCTTTTTGCACTGTTGGGGCTGTGCGCTAAAACAACCTTGTTATCCACACCCCTCTCTTTTGTCATGCCTCATTTTGTCATTAATAAAGCTAGTTGAAAGTCAGCAGTGCCTATATGTCTGCGTCTGCTCTCTTGTGAGTGTGTGCTTGCGTCGTACTCTCTCGCTTTACGATGAACCGTGTGTCATCTGGTGTCATCGTGTGTCATCTGCAGGTTCAACAGCTTTGCCTTCTTCGAGGTCAGCCCAGTCTCGTTTCACCAAGTGGCGGAAGTGCTGAGCGAAGACAAAGTGAGGCTCTCTGTTGGCGGATGGTTCCATGGACCTCCCATCAGTAGGCCAGAACCCTACATTGAGCCACTGCTCAAGCACTTGTCCTGGTGCCATATTGAGGTAATGCATTTGACTAAAACACTGAGCAGGTATCTTCATTTAGACTGTGTCGATATGTCGCACTCCTGCGGCACCCATGTCATCCCTGCGATTACGAGAATGTATCCGTCGACTCTTTTCAATTTTTCGTAAGCTCTGTGAATTCCGCTTTGTCTATTTTTTTTTACTCTTACTAACACTGCCTCCTCAAGCTTTATTGAGGAAGGAGATCGACTCGAAAATCCAAACATTTATTGGACTCGCGTAAAAACCAAAATGCTGGAAACAAGTAAGCAATGCGACATTCGATGTGTGTACAAAGTGTTCAGGTTTGCATGGCTCACAAAACATTCCTCTTGTAAACTTTGTGTGGTAGTTTTTCAGTAATTCTCAACTGCCAGTGTAGTTTCTTTCTAAGTAAGAAATTTCTTTCTCTAAGCAAAAAACCGCATTGGAGATGAATAGAAAGAAGGACACACTACAGAGCTGTGATGTGTCCTTTGGTTCGGCAAAAAAAAAAAAAAGAAAATCGCTCAGACTCTTTCAAGAAATGCAAGTTGCAGCTTTGTACTCACTTGGACTGAGACCTCGCGAAAATATTACTAACTCGGACTCACTCAGATTCGCGGCTCGATCCGAGTGTGGGTGAGTGGACTCACAAGTGAATTTGCCAATTTATGGGCGTGTCCACCTTTCTTTTTTCCCCACGTTATCGTTGCACTGAGTCAAAAACGTTCAAGTACGGTCACTAACTAGCCCAGCTTCCAATCCTTCTGCAGGTGTAGTCCCGGCCAGCGACAAGTTAATGTTTTATCCACTTTTCTTTCCTCACATTTTTATTAGGATTACTACATCGCCTGTGCTTTCTTTAGCATCATTGTCTGTTCTCTTTCGTATCAGTGTAACACAGGTCAGCAGGATTAACCCGAGGTGCTGTACATTAGTGCGATACACCCAAAGTGGAAATACCAGTCTGCTCAATCATATGCACTGTGCAGCCATATACATCGCTTTCACTTTGATTTATGCTAAGCACAGCGTCTGCTCATTTTTTTCTCCTTGCATATTGAAATGTTGCTCACACAGTTGACTTTGTCACATAGAACCTGAACGGACCTGGAAAAGTATGTTCCATTTAGCAGGAGTTCTATTTCCTGAGGGATGAGTAAGGATGCAGAATTTGAGTATGAAACCATCCATATTAGAGGCAGTCGTTAAATTTCAGCAGCAGTTCTGTTGAATTAAGAGATTTCTGTTTACTGAGAGTGCACTGTATAGTTCACTTGCATTTCCTGTGAACCATCGTTAGCACACCATTCGTTACCTGCGGACGTAGTGTGCCTCAGGAATACGAACATGTTTGCGTTACAGCTTTTTGTCTGACTATAAATGAAATGAATAAGAAAATAATATCATTAGCCGCAGCGCTGGGAGACGGCATAGATGAAATCAGCGACGAAATGTGCAACCTAGCTGAAAACTAAATAAATTAAGTTTGTCATTGAGCGATTGTGCCTTCTTTCGTGAAAGGACATGTCTAGTCTATTTTTGGTTACTCATTGAAGAAAAAAGAAATATTTATATGTTTTGCATATTCCTTTTTATATCTCTTTAATGAGTGTAATCTTTCCTACATGTATGAAATATTTATTATTGTGCCACTTTCAACTGTGTATTTGTGTCTGTTTACTGTTTTAGTTGACCTCATCAATGCTGTCACTTTTTCTGTCTTGTTTTGTTGGAATGTGGGGCTGGGTCAACCTGCTTTTTTGTCGCAGCTTTTCTCCCACATTTCATACCACACATTGTATCTTTGTTGCGACTTAAAAAAAAAGAAGCCAATGTCAATGTGTAATTGTGTGGTAAAAATAAACTTCAAACTTAATTCCAATTGATGTTTCATGCCAAGTGTGACAGATCTGATGGAGGATTTCACACGATGTTAAACCTCCAGGAGGAGCTGCTCCGAGAGTGGGTCAGCCCCACTTACCTGGCGGACAGCATTGCCGAGCAGGTTCGAGAGCAGTTCAAGAAGGAGTCGGAGATCCACCTCCAGGAATTCCTGCTGGCAAGTGCCCCCTCAAGCCCTGCAGTTGCATACAAATTGCGCGCAGCTGTTTTGCTTAATTGACCCGCCTGCCGCACCCGCTGCACGCTTGTGCTGGTCCTCCATGTTGCACGTTTTTCAGCGATAGCGCATGCTACGTGTTCCTTTTTCTCTGCGTTTAAGCAACTAGCCAAAATATTTTCCGCAAAATCGCATCAAAATACATTTATTTACATCTATCAATAAAATTCACAATAAAATCTATCAAGTTCTTTCAGTTTACAGCCATTTCAAAGTGGTGAAAATTTTAAAGCACTGTGCCATGTGGAGGGCAGAACTGCACTTTTTGCACTTTTACGTGAGTGTTTCGGTGAGTTGGTAATTCGTCGTCAAGAAAGTTTCAACAGCGAAAGCTCTTGTCCCTGCCGGCTCCCTTTTCATCCGTTCGTCTATTTTTTGCACTGTCTAAACTTTGTTGACTTTCGGCAATTCCCATAATTTCTTTCCTGGTGCATTGCACACTTGATGCTGCTTTTAGGGCAATTCGCTGGCTGTGGACAGATTTCCACTACAGGTACACCCTTCGATTCACCTGGTTTTGTAGAGGAGTTAAAGGGACACTAAAGTCAAATACTAACAATTTATGTCAGGGTGAAAGCGCAATGTATGTCAACATCTAAAACGACAATACTATCAACAACAGTGCCCTACTTACCAAGAAATTAAGGTGAATGCACAAGAACACATGCGCCGCAGTAGGGCATTCTTAAAATGATCCCGCTGACATCAGATGGACCTTCTACAATTAATCACTAGTAATCGATCTAACTGCACTAAATGAAGAACCTTCCATGCATCAAGAGAGGCAATAAAATATGCTGCTTGTTCGTTTCTGTTTGATTGATGAAAAAAAAGAACCAACCGCCGGACGTTACTATGGGGAATGGTGCGAGTGGTTCAAAAAGTTAAATTTCGCATAGTTACACTGGGCAGGTGGTGCCATCTAGTGGGGTGCGGTTGAACCAAAAACGTTTGCAATGTCGGAGCCAATAACGGGAAATTGATCAATCGACATTGTTGCTGCTGTGGCTCCCGCTGCATTCGGTCTGCTGCTACCAGAGCAGTAAAGCCGGGCAACGTTGCGCACAGCAACAGTGACGTGAGTCGGTCCGCTTCTTTGGCAGGTAATTTGAAGTGTGCTAACCCGATGCGAGCCACTAAAACGTGATTTTATTTCAAAATAGGCCCTTCCTTGGCACAAGAATAATACTACGAGGTTTCTGGACCGCTATTTCAACAATCAGCTTCGACCTAGTAGCTGCCTTTAATGTCCCTTTGATAATAATAACAACAAATGTTGGGGTTTTAAATCTTAAAACCACAATACAATGATGAAGCATTACAGTCGTATTCGAAGCTTCGTTTAGATCACAGTTGGAGACTTTCACAGAGTTGTCACGTAATACAGTATTCGTGTAGTTTTTCCTTGTTTTTCTTTTTCTTCCGGAATATTTAAGAAGTTCGATTGCCCCGCTCATGTGTTGCAACCCCTTCAGGAGGACAAGTACAAGGCTCTGGAAGAGGCCCTTTCCGATCCCAACATCTTCTGGAAGCAGCAAGGCCCACGGAACCGCCGGTAAGCGTGCGTCGTGTTGACATCGGACGTGTACTCGGCGCCCTGCGACGTTTCGGGCACTCTGAATGGCAGGATTTCCTAATGCCAGTGAACGCTGACAACCGAAAAGAGGTAACCTTCGAGGGTTTATCGGGAAATGGACTTGCAGTTTTGAAGCATAAAATGATATTCAACAGAAAGGAAGCATCATGGAAGCATCATGGCACTGTGGTTACTTCTAAAATGTGGTGCTCAGCCTTTTCACTTTGATTTGATTTCTGCCACAGATACTAGTATTTTAAATTGTAGCTCATTTCAAAGCACATTTTTGACAACCTGCCATTGTTTGGTACTTGGTATTTACATTGATCGTTGCCTGGTGAATGTATTTTATAAGAAATATAAAGATTTTTGAGATGCTTTCACAATACTCTGAACTCCCAATAAATGTGCGGCAAATTTAATGCCCGCTTCTAAAACATCAGTAGCTGCTGTAAACTAGCATTTTTTTCTGTTAAGCAGTCCTTTTGCTCCTCCTCCAAAAAGTAAAAAGGCACTTTCATCACTGACAAGTTAAGCTGTTACTAGGTCAACTGTTGCTCAACATGGAAACTTGTTGATCAAAAAGAAAGGTGGGCATGGGATGTGACGTGCTATGGCATTTATGGCAGTGAAGCATAGCTCCTGCTAACGTATGCAATGCTTGCTGAGATTGCTAAGTGCACTACAGCACAATGTAACATTTCAAGGAAATCTTGAACATTTGTAAAATTGGCCATATGATAAAGCAGCTCGCATAAATCTAGACACCATATTCATAAACTGCATAAAGTGAGGCGCATTTATTGAAGAACTGAAATTACTTTTGCATTAGTAGTCTGTACATTTACTCGAGAAAAGTTGTATTTTCTTGGTTATCTCACGACAGAGTACTTGAAATAGTATCCACTTCTTTCATGCCCCTTTTCAAGTAGACTAAAAACTGTTGGCATCTCCTTGGCAGTTTTCAAATGGAACAAATATTCAGAAACTTCTTGCTGTACATTCTAGAATTGAGAAGAGTTGAAATTCGAGCTTGCTTACATGTGTTGCCTTGTGCCATTGTTTGACGCTCCTCTTATAGGTCTCTAATGTAATAGAAGGCAAATAGCAGGGACCATTTTCTATTTGCACACATACGTACACAAGGTATGGTTGGACCATGTCAGTATATAAAAAACGCTGCCATGGCTAATTTTTTTCTCAACTTCATGGTAAATACAGTGGAGCCATGATTATACAACTTTGAGAAGACCACACATTACTGTCATATAATTCAGGCATCATATAATAAAAAAAAGTAATAATCTCTAGAGTAATGCTCAGTATTTCCCAGAAAATGAGTACTAGTCACCTGAAGAACCCCTCAGCACTATTCTACTCTTCTCCTAGGAAGGTAGAATAAAATATATTTGAAAATGACAGGTAAACATTTAATTCAATTGACATTTGATTGAATAAGAAAATTAAATACAAGAGAATTACTATTCTCAATTAACTTTTCGATAAATCGAGTCCAAAGATAGCTCGAGTGTAAAAATGAAACTGCGTTGGAAAGAGTCTCCCATCAGAATAATCAGATGAAGTGTCATCACCATTACATGATGGCGATGGAGCACATTTTGCGGGTCCGATTTGTCGTCTTGTCAAGTGCAGTTGGGGATGTTCCGCTGTGACTATGAACACTCTCGTCAAGGGAAAGTTATTTTGGATGCAGCTGAAGATAGTAGCTGCATTGCGTCCTTTATGTGTGCGCGAGGCCTGTGACAGTACATCAAACAAAAGGAAGTCTTCAGCTGCATGTCGACCGGGAACAGTTTCCACGGGCAGACAACGCGAAAGCTTCAGATCTAAAGGATGAGCTTTCTGACTACCTGAGGCTACTGCTTGTAGATAGAGCTTCTCTAAGTAATGGCCCTGGCTACACATGTGATCGTGGCGTATCTGGAACTGATTTTAAAGCCTGGAATACTGGTTCACCGAAGCACGTGAACTGCCCTGAAAATGAATTTTCTATTCCAAGAAGGCATATTGTACCCGTCTCACTCTAATTTTTGTTTTCTAATTGTAAAGCTAGGGGCACGTAAGGCTTTATTTTGCACCCATGATTATGTGGGAGTTGAGTGACAAAGGCTATTTTTTTTTCTTGAACGGTTTCAGTCAGTCTTTTTACAATGTGGGGTCGGCGTAAAATTGTGTAGTGTAACCGAGGCTTTTAATACATTGTTTTTATAAGGGTTTTCGCCAGGACCGATTCACCAATTCATCATAAAATATGGGTTGTCGCAAATCTGTGGGTCGTATAGGTAATTGAGGTTCCTCTCTACATAGGGTCCTGAATTTAGGAGGGGGGAGGATTGGGTTTCTAGAGTCGCCTCAGCTTGACTGTGCACGTTCCGCTCCTTTCCTAACATCGTTACTTCTTGTGCCTTTCGCAAAAAAAAAAAAAAAAAAAGACAGATGAAATCAAAAGAGGCAGCTCGGGCTCATTCATTGCACGACTTATTAATAGCCAATGTGGATTTAAACTTGCTCATCATGATGCAGTTGCAATGCTAATACTTTGGATCTACGAGACTCTGTTACAATCTAAAAAAAAGCTCTGCCCACTGCCGTCATTGTCTCTCTTACAGAGCGTTTACATAACTGCTCCATATAGCAGCCATTACTCATTCTCGTGTTCTCAAGCACCTTTGTAGTGTTTTAAATAGTGGACTACCTTATGCAGAACACGTTTGTGTTGCTGATTTTAAGTCAGCAACTCCAATGCACTGGTAAATTTCATCTGGGATTCTGACATGAGTGCTCAGCAAAATGTAATGTCTTCAGGAGTAACAAGGAATCTTTGACTACTAATGTGGGCAGTATTTACATTAGTCTTGAAAATGTAGTTATGGAGTGAGTGTAAACCAGCCGGCATGACTGCCTTTCACAGGTGAAAGAAAGGCACACCGCGGTTCTGTAGGCAGAGCTCACGTTTCTTATTTGGTAGTAGCCGAGTATATCAAGGGCTTTCAAACTGATCTCCATACTGCTCTACGAACAGTTCTCGGGGCTCTCACCTCCCCCGACTTTGCAATTGCCTCCGTGATCGGACACCCTTTTAACCAGGCTACGATACCATGGGATGACGTCAGCATGTGACGTGAAGCCCAACTGAGATACTTAAGCCTCCTTACGCTGCTGGGAAAGCGACAAAAATCTACCTCGATGGTGTAGCGGTTACGGCGCTTGGCTGCTGACCCGAAGGTCACGAGTTTGATCCGGGCAAAATGTTATAGACTGACATTGTGTATCAAAAAACCTTAGGGTTGGTATTTTGCAAACATTCCCTCATAGAACAAGGGAGGGGGAGCCGCGCAGGATTGGGCGAGGCTAATCTGATGGTCGAGACGTGAGAATAGCCACGGAATGTGGCCGCCCCGTTCTATCAGTAGAATGGATACTAAACGGTCTTCAAACAACGTGGATCGGATTGAAACAAAAGCGCTTGATCCCAGAGAATCGAATTAGCCCGTTTTGCGCCCAACTTGCCTACATCTCACATCGAAAATCACCACCAAACAAAATTGCGACTCCACCTAGCGTCCACTCAACACACTAACACAAATAAATCATAAAAGTCATCACGCTCTGTATTCTCAAGCTTGAAAACAATACATGTCAATAATGATGTTGAGCTGTATTAATTCTATATTTTGTCGTGTGTTGAAATCATTTTTGAATTCTCTCATCTCGCCTGTTGGCTGTTTGTTCTTTCTCTTCTCGGTCTTTTGTTCAATCTCTCCCCTGTTCCATGACAAAACGATTACAAAGTACCGTCCCATGTGATCGATTTTTTAGAACCCCCCACTACGGTGTCTTTCATAATCGCATCGTGGTTTCGAAATGTAAAACCTCATTATTATGCAAAGTGACAGAAGTTGCTAGACCAAATTGGAACAACACCTCCTCTTCCCCTAGGCCCGTAAGGAAGGGCCCCATAACACGCTTGTCTCATGTTTGTGCTCAGGTTTATCTGTTGGGGTAAGATTCTGTACCATATTGATGGCCCCTGGTGTGGTTTTGCAGGTGGACATTGGAGTGCCCGACGCCAGTGGCACCCATCGTGGAAGAGTGCCTTCAGGTGTTCCGTTCGGAGGCCATGTTCCTGATTCTGTCGAACTTGACAGGCTTGAGCCTGCACCACCTGTTGTCCATCACCGAGAGCGAGTCGAGCTCGGAGGACGAAGGGGCCTCCCGCAACTCCGACAGGCCTGACCACGTGCCTGCGAGCTGCACGCAGGTCGTCCGAAAGTGGAGCCACGGGACGTACACGCTCGCCCACGACCACGATCGAAGTGCCGACGAGTGTGGACTCGACGTCGTCCTCTACCTCAACTGCCGAGGTGATTCACTAGTGCAACAGTGTTCAAGGAGCTCATTTCGCGAAATTCCGGTGTCGGCTTCGCCGGTTGTGAGGGCACAATCAACTTTGTTCGTGAACAGAAATTCATGACAGATGCAAATAAAGAAATGGTAATAATCTTCAGTTCAACAGAGAATCGATTCCAGGGCTTCTATGTGGCAAGCAGGCATTCTTCCACAGAGCCATGCCAATGCTCGATATTGTTTCAAGAAAAAAAAAAGAACGCCATATAAGTATCTTGTAGCATGAAGGGTGTCCTTAATGCATGTAATGTTGCTTGGCAGAAGCATAGAATCCCACAGGGCATCAAAACATGCAAATTGCACGAGTGGTTGGTTTAAAGGCCTTCAAATTGATAAACACACAGGCATATGTATGCATCTTGTAAAAATCAGTGCAAATAGGATGGAGCACGAGAATAGAGGGACACAGTACGAGCACTGTAATCATTCACAGTACGAGGCATGCGTAATCACTAGATGCCAGATTTTTAGGCACTAAAAAAGTGTGCTTTAGGTGCCAAAGACAGGCAGGTAAGACACCATTTTAGGCCCTCGAAATCATTATTATATGCACAATAAATTTCTACAAAAATTGAAGTATCCCAAAACGACGTCAACGACTTGTGTCTACGGCAAGAAGCAAAAAAAAAGTTTAAGATAGCAGAAAAGTACCAATGATTGAACATCGGCATGCATTGCCCAGGCGATTCGCAGTATGTGGTTTTTCGTTTTATTGTCTAGCATTGTGCGTCAAGTGTCCACCATTCAATTAACACTCTCATGGGTCTCTTTTGTTTCATTGTGGCTGGGAAGGACAGCGTAGAAGCAAATAAATAGACCACTTATACCCCAGAAGAGAGGCATGCTAGGTCTAATTGCGTAGGACCAATTTCTCCCCTATCGGTGAACTCCTTAAAGGGCCTCTCACCGAGTGTGGCCACTTTGAGCTGACAAGCGTAATAGTGCACTGGGAACTCCGGATCATTCCTGTCAAGATTTGCATAATTGCATGTCGTGGAAAAACACTCAATTTCTTATGAATAATGCTCAATTTCTAATGAATGCCACTTGCCCTTCTCGCGAGCGTGCGCCCCAAGATCTAGGGAGTGACATACTGCGAGGAATGGTCCTGTTTTTACGTCGCTCCTTTACGTTGAAATTGGTGGGCCGACGTCGCATACCGTACGCTCTTCATCAGAACTTCATTAAATGCTAGATTTATCTATGAAAACAGACAAAACGGTCCGTCTCCTAGTCATATTCTGCATTTTAAACGGTACCTCATTAAGAGTGTTGCACATACGTGACATTACACTACTTGGCATGTGCAATTTATGTGTTCTGTTGTGTAGCATGAATGAGGAGTACTTTGGTTTGGGCTAGGTGCTTCATATCATTTTTAAAGGGAAATGCAAAGACAAAGAGAAAAGAAAGACAGCGCTCTTTGTCTGTGTGTCTTAGTTTATTTTTTGTGTGTGTGTCATTGCACTGCCCTTTCAACCAGTATAATGAGTGAAAGCTGAGAAAAATAATAAAACACGCAAAGAGAATCTCAGCTTATTCTTTTCATTTTTGTTTTGAATAGCTTCGAGATGCTATTCACTAATTGGCCCTCGTTTCACGTCCGCCTCAGTAGACCAGTCCCTTTAGGGTGCTCCGCTGCTGACTCAAATGCCGCAGGTTCGATTGTGGTCGCGGCGGTCAAATCTAAATTGAGGCAAAAAAGTAGATGCCCATGTACTGTGCGATTTCTGTGCACGTTAAAGAATACCAAATGGTCCAAGTTTGCAAAGACCTCAACTGCGGCATCTCTCATGTTCATATTGTGTGTTTTTTTTACGTAAAACCACATATATTACCACTGCTACTACTACTACTACTCCATTTTGCTAGCGTTCGTTATTCCTGCATCGTGCCTTCGCGAACCCTGACAACGCTTGCTTGTGTTTGGTGCGTCGTCTATGACCGCAGTTTCAGCGGAGCGACGTCGTGTATCGCAGTCAGAATACATGATCCTTGCCAGCCTCTCCTAAAGTACAAGCACTGACGGATTCATCCCACAGAAAATGGTAATACACAACAGAGAACGCCGAAACGACACAACATCGATGGCGTACGTGCACGACTAGGCTGGGGCACGTCATGCGCGCGTGATCTTGCTTACGCATGTTGTGCTGGGTGCATATGCGTCATGTGATTCTCCAGCCCCGATACCAAAAAGAACAGGGAAGGAATGAGGCTCGCAATGGCTACACGGGACGAGAGGCAAGGGATTCAAGCTTGTTTCTTTGCATCATGCTTTGGTGACTCGTAGCAAACCAATTTGAAAAATCACTGCGGTAGAACGCTTTTCATTAGGCGCGCAAGAACTTCTAGTGTCTAACTACAACCTATAATGTCACCAAGAGAGGGACGCTTAAAAATTAAATTACAAACAAAACAGAAGCCGCATGCACATCACATTTTTTACCCCAAAGAGCTGCAGCATATGGGTTAAAATGTCAAAGAAGACACGCCTTCATTGACACAACACACTTTGTTCTCTTTATAAGCCATTTCATTCTGTCATGAAAGTAACAAAAAACGAATTATTAGCAAAAGTATATCTGATACGACATTCTAAAATCTTAATTATCATTGCGCAAAGAGTACTGTTTAGGTACATTTATTTTAGAATGCGAATTTTACCATGAAATACTTGACATAGGAGCATTACCGCAGTTTAATTCGGCACGATGATAGTAGTTTTCATCCTATAATTCATTTTTCATATTGTTACAGTTGTCATTTTTGAGTAATGGCTTAGGTCAAACCTTGATACCCTGTTCTGTATTTTTTCATGTTGTCACTTAAAGACATATGACAAGAGATCTCGTACGGAACAAGCGCATTCAAGCATACGGTGAATGTATGCTAAATACATCGTTGATTGTAAACATGCCAGTGCCTGTCTCAGGCTTCGCTGTAGAAAGTATGATGATTTGGTGACCTTCGCCACCACTGAATCAACAAGAGCATTCCACGAGTAGCCCTCCTGGTTTTTCATTCGTTCTTCAGCTACTCGCGGCTGCTTAGAGAAACCTGCTCTTTCTTTCCCACCGACAAGACCCAAGTTTTCAGGGCAGTTCTTCAGTTCCTTCAGGGCACTGGATATCTGTCTGTAGAAGGTGGTTGCCGCGTCCTCGGCAATAGATGTCACTTTTATATTTTTACCCCATCTTTCATTCTCTTTCCTTCTTCCCCTGCAGATGCTGAGACATTCTTCCACTAAGGGCTGCAGAAATGGCGCCTTTTGCACTTCTCATGCTCCTCCTCCCATCGCTCGCAGCATGTCAACTTTGTCTTCGTTGAACCTTATAATGTTTGGAAATATCAATGTCGCTTTTTTTACATGAATAACAGTTTCACACCATACTCTAAAACAAAATTCTGGCTTGAATAGCACTCATATATGCACTCATTTGGGAAAATAGGCACTTATAGGCATTTAGGCACGAACACCCCAAAGAGGCATTTATAGGCACTATAAAAACACCATAAAAGCCCTTCTTAACCTCTAATTCATGCTCATATATCAAAATGGCACGATAGGAACGCGAGGAACAATATAGGCATTTGCCTATAATCCGGTCTCTAGTAATCACCGTTATCACCAACGGCATCAGCTGCAAAGGTACATGTGTTGCCTTCCGGATGCATAATGGGTGTTTTGCCGATTAGCAGAAAGAAGGTTTATGTCATTCTGGACATTTTGCAACTGCTTTTTCAGTAGGCACTCCAGCATAGTCTGAAACGGTCAGTTTACACGCACACAAACGTTTCTTTGCGGCACCGTTCACGTGGCCACGAAGAAGCAAAGCTAGGCCGAGAAGATTTTAGATGTTTTCTAGACATTTTTGTATGGAGAAGGCGATGCAAGTGGGGCCAGATTATGCGATTGTGTCCTGCTTTTGAAGACGAAGCTCGAGAGTATTCCAAGTTTTCCTGAGGGCACAAAATATATCATAAAAGAAGGAGCATACGTTGCAAAAAAGTAGGGATAGGCAAATATTCTAATGCTCCGATTATTTAAATAAATATCACAGGAATCGATCTCACTTTGACACGAATTTAAAGTATATTTAAAATGATCGAATGTACGTTTATTTACTACATGTAACCTGCTAGAAAAGCGGTTTCACTGCACCGTGAGGCTGTGTCATGAAATCACCTATCCGAAGAAAATCTGCACTGCCATGAAGCCATGCTTCAAGGTTAAGTGTGCGTTCTACTTGAACCTTGATTACTATTTTTTCTTTTTTTAAGTTTACAAGCTTGTTTATGGGCTTATATGTGCAAAGCATGGCAAATCATGAAGTGTAAAGTATTTTACTTCCGATAACTTGCGCCCTACTGCTATTAAAATTCTGCTGTAATTCGAAGTTGATTTCGCTTTTCTTCGAACGATGAAAGCGACAATCGCACAAGCTGCGTTCAAGTTCTCAAAAATATTATGCTAAAAGATAGGTCATGACCAAACTGAGATTTTTCTTCACGTTCAAAAACATGGGATTTAAGCTATTGAAACTATCTGATTAAAAACTATTTAGAAAACTCACTATCCCCTTCGAACCTCAAATTTGCCATTGGCTTATTCCTACAAAAGGAAGCAAAAGGCAAAAAATTAGGAATTAGAAAAAAAAGACCAAAGAAAAGTGGTGCAAAACAAACTCACTAGTTGCATAATACTAACAAGTAATAATGCAGCATCTTTCTTAGAGCATGTTTAAAAGCACTAGGATTAGCTGTGTCCGTCATGGAGGCATGTTAATGATTCCAGTCCTTTGTGCACGCAGTGCTGAGAACAAGTGGCCATGAGCCTGCAGTAGTTGAAAAGCGTGGAATGTTAACCTTATGCAGATGATAAAACCATTGTGAGTGAAATGGCCCTGGAGGTACAGACGAAGAACAATTCTACAGCACCTCGCTTTATGAGGTGCTATAGAATCCACCGTGCGAGGCGGCTTGAAGAGTCCTCCAACTTAGCTAGCCAACAGAGGGCGTTGTGGTCGCTCACAACTTTGAAAGGCCTGCCGTAAAGATAGGGGCCAAACTTGGAGGTAGCCCAGATGATGGCAAGGCACCCCTTTTCTGTTATGGAATAGTTGCCATCCTGGAATTGCGAGGAATGGGAAGGTTGTGCAACCAGGGACGCAATTTTGGATGTTATCACGCTTGCTGTCTCGTCAGATTTTAATAAAATAAATACGAGTGAATCAAGGGGCGATCACTGTTGGAAGTGAAAAGATATCCTGAAGGGGGGCAGCTGTTGTTTTTTTTATGCTCTAAAAACACTCGCATGTTTTTTAAGAAGTATTTTTAGACTATGTAGAATGTGTACAGTCAAGTACAATTTCTTTTGGTCTGCCCTCATGACCAGAGCACTGCAATGCGATTGCTTCTGCACCTAAAGAAATGGCCGCACTTGAAAGTTGCTTTTAAGACATGTATTTATGTGTACTCGGCGACAACTCATCTTGACATTAGAGCGAAGGCTACAAAGGCACAGGCTTCCACGCGTTCGTGTTGCTCTGCAAGTGTACCACGGCAGCTTGAGGCTGACTTTGGTTTCGCTCGCCTACATCATTAATGTGTTCAGAAAAACATATAGTACATGAAAATTATGAATGGGACAGACATTTGAATTTCTCGGCATATATTTTAGTGTCTGATTAGGAGAATATTTCTTCGGAGAACTAAACAGCACGCTTGCGGCAGAACACGGATGTCAAGGATGCCACGTTTCCCTGAAGAATGGGTAGGCTGTAAAAGGCGGTGCTGTCTGAAAAATGCAAAGGAAGTCATTGTTGCTTGTTGAGTCAATCACTGCACCTTATCTACCCGCAGTTGTTTCGGTCTCATAATGAATAAAGCAGTGTTCATTTCAGCAAGGCAAATGAAAAAATTATCGGCAAACTTTAGCACCATTTTTCTGGGGCGGCAGCACGCATGCTCTTTGGTTGCGTAGCTTCCACAGTGCTGTCAAGAAAAGTTGTCGCCGAGAGTAGTCGGACACTAAGTAAGGTGGCAGGAAAGGCCCCACCCAGATGACCAGAATGTGGCAAATGGTTGCCTATGCAAATGAATAAATGGTCTTGCTCGAGCCTTCTGAGGTGTTCTCCGATGCCGAAATCTCGGACTGCAATGTCTAGCTTGTGACATCAGCCTAGTGAGTATGCCAATTGATGCTGCCTTGTGCAGAGTTGAAATGCTTCTGCTTATAAATTTTGATTGAAGTATTCACTTTCATGAGCTTCTGCAGTGGTACCTGCAAAGTGTGCTTGGAGGAATGCTAGCGATTGGAACTTTGTGGCTACAGTAAACTGACTGCCAACGATAGCAGCGGCTTATAGTGTTGTCTGTTAACTCTACTAATGTTTTATATCTTGGTGCTTCTTTCAGAATGGAAACCAGAATATGGTGGTTTTACAACGTACATAGTGAAAGGCGAAGAAGAAGAGGTGAGCTTGTACCGTACATTGTATTATAGTGGATGTCATTGTCGTTGCTTTCATGCTTGATTAAAACCTAACTTTGCCGGGTACTTTGCTTGTCTAATGAAATGCAACGCAAAAGGGTAATTCATGCCGGCAACCTGCAGAGATTCTGCAAATAAGCTAGCTGTTTAGCTACAAGGTGACTGAGTGCAGGCATTTGAGAGTGCTTTAAAAAGAACCATTTTGGGTTACTCACATGCTGCTCGATTTTTCAGTCGTACAGCATGCATACCTATCAGAAGCACAGGAACGAGGCATCTGCTTCGCAACGGCACAGGCATGCACACATGAGCAGCCCCAGTTGTCAAGCGTTTTGGTATAGTAATGTGTGCAGATCGTACCAGCCAGTCGCTATTCACAGTCAGTCGTGCGGCTTATATTACCGACCGCTGTGAACCAACTCTAAAGGTGATAGGATTTGTTATTTGACGAGAGAGCAGAAATCATGTCAGTGTCGCACGACTACGGATGATGAAAGGAAAGGCATGTGCATTAGTTCGCTTTGAACTTTCACATTTCATTCACCTTGAATAACGTACATGTGAAAGCCCTCAACTAGTGTTCACTATGTTTTTGTTTCAGAGTTTTACCATGATGGTGAAGAGTACACAGCTGTTTTTGCTGTAAGAATATCATTTTAAAACATTAGCTCAACTTCCAATGTAGGGAGTTGGTAGCCACATAAAAGTTGACGTGTTCTACTATTTCATATAAAAGCTCTCCTGGAAAAAAGAAATGCGTTTATAATGTGTTGCCAACTTGAACAGAGGCAATTTTAAGTTATTACTATTAGTGTTGCTACTGTCATAGACAGTATGTCAGGATGCAATTTTTTTCCCCCATTACATTTGCAAGAAGTCTATAGAGCTCGAAGTGCTTACCTTGCTAAAATGAACATATGCGCGAGCATCCACATAGTGTGATTGTGCTAAACATTAGAGAAGCTTAGTGCAAGCATTCAAAACATCGTGAAATGCTTCCTCCTGCCTAGATTTCACACAATTCATTCATTAGTCTGATTCCATTCAACCGACTTTTGCACCGCTTCTGCAGCTGCTGACACTGAACCCTTCGCCGAACTCGGTGGCGCTGGTCTACAGGGACCAGGGACTCCTGCAGTTTGTGAAGCACGTCAACCACGAGGTGACCAAGCTGTCCAAGGAAACCAGTGCTTTCACGACATGAAGTTCGTCTATTACGAATGATGTTAATAAAGTGCTCGTTTCTTGTTACAGCCATGACTCGCTGGTGGCAAATGTGGATTCGACGATCATTACTGGAGAGTGCGCACTCAAAATGACAGGCACTGAGAAGAACGCAACGCAACACTTCCCTGCATATCAGTCTTGAGTGCGCGATCACCGGTAACGATGAATCCATACTAACTAGCCCAGTTTACTGCTTTGTCGTGTGCAAACGTGGAGTTTCTGAACAAGTGTTGCAAACAACTGGCCGGGCTCAGCAAGCTGAAGACTTGTAAGAAAACGGCAATAAAGATGAGAACGTAAAAGAGGACAAGCGTTTCGTCTTTAGCACCTAACTCCAGAGGTTCGGTGGCATTTGAACTAGCGTGATTCAATACACTGTTTGCGTTGTGCAAGCTATTTATTTTCACCGCACAAGTGCATCACGCGGGCAAAAAACAAAACCCAAGGTTTCACTTTTTCTAGCCATAGCTTGCACGGTATATCACCCTTTCAGAGATGCCATTGAACTAGCACCATTCAATACACTGTTGCGTTGTGCAAGCTATTTATTTTCACCGCACAAGTGCATCACGCGGGCAAAAAACAAAACCCAAGGTTTCACCTTTTCTAGCCATAGCTTGCAACGGTATATCATTCTTTCAGAGATGCGTGCCTCCGTGCACGGTGTTTGCACAACGACGGAATGGTGCCATCCCCAATGAACGAGCCACGTGCATGCCTGTGGTATTGGAGTAACCGCGGCTACCGTTCAGACATTGTGAACCTGCGAGTTGAAGGGATAACGTAATCACTGCTGCGCCTTCTCTAAGGCGGCAGCCACGACGTAGCTCACTATTGTGGGGACCTCCGCCATGCCCCCGTACCCGCGGTCCCCGCAGGCGAGCTTCTTCTCGACGCAAGGCACTTCGGTGAAGCCGAGGCCCGTCAGGGTGTTCACGTGCTGCGCCGTTATCGGGTGGCACCACATGTGAGTGTTCATGGCGGGACAAAAGAGCAGCGGCTTTTTCAGGTCCCAGGCCCTGACGACGCACGTGAGCAGGTTGTCGCACAATCCGTTCGCTATCTTCGCCATCGTGTTGGCGTCCAACGGAGCGACGACCATGACGTCGGCCCAGCGCCTCAGCTCGATGTGCAACACGGGATCGGACATCTTACGCCAGGTGGACCATTCGTCTTCGTCGACGAGCAGCGGTACAGAGCGCGGAATCATCAAGCGGTCGAAGAAGTGCAGCGCACGGTTAGTGGCCACTACCTTCAGGTCTACAGAGGCGTATCCCTGCAACCGCTGAGCCAGTAGCTGTTGCACCAGCAGGGGTACCTTGACGGACGCGACGCTGCCAGTGCAGCCGATGAGAACGTTCAGGGTCTGCGCTGGGGCTTCGGTGGACATGTCTGCTCGCGCGTTAGCTACCTGCTAGATCTGAATGATTTGTGCGTCGCTTGTTTTTCCTGCAGGCAGAGCCGCGCGCTCCCATCACTTCCATCATATGCCGGCCGTGCACGGCAACCTTTTGTTCTTTTGTCGTTGGAAACTTTCCTTCGCGTACTGCGTCGGCAGGAAAGACAGTTTCGTACGAAGTTGCGAAAACTTCATCGCGAACGAGTTTGCGCTTTTAATAAATACACCCACACAACGTCTCCCTCCCGCGTGCCTCTGTAGTGCATTATGAGATGCATATAACCTCACAAAACGTGCAGTTTTTTGCAAATCAGTGCTCTTTATTATTTGTTACTCGCGGCAGCCCATGCACCGGGCGCCGCTGCATCGCGGGTACGCCATTGTCGGCTCGAAGTTGCTTGTAGCGGAGTTTCACCCGTCCCTGCCTTCGCTGAAGACGTCGTCCGCTTGACAGGTAAATTTGTGGCCCGTCTCTGTTTCTCCGGAACGCGGATTCTAATCTTTCGCGGACTCGCCGAGTGTCCCGAATTCAACGAGTGACACCCTCTCGAGAAGAGAGAGGAGGTGAACGTTGTAGTTGTTTTCGTGGTTTTTGACGAGCAGAGAAGCGATCACTTTAATGAATGAGTCGACGGATCGCGTTCACCTAAGTCGTCCACCGTCGTACCTCCGTTGCCTCGCTCGTGATGCCCTCCCAACTGGCATGTTCGAGCAGTTGTGCGCTGGTACTTCAATAGCGACGTAGCTTTGCCTAAGGACAAGGCCAGTCGCGTTCGATCCTTTCTCGTATTTTCCGCTGGACACACGTAGCGTATGTCATCCGCATGTGACGACAGTGTCGTTTAGTTGTGTGGTTTAGTGTCACGTCCTGTGTCGATCGTAGTGGGGTCCCCTGTATTTATTCTGCCGGTCCTTCAGGTGGAGCGGCTGCTCCCAGCGTCGCCCGATGGCGTCGGGCGAGGAGATGATGTCCGCTTCGCCTGGGCCGCAGTCCCAAGGCGGTCCGCCTCCTCAACAGGGCGGCCCGCACCCCGGGGACGGTCACATGCAGCAGGGATACCCTTCCGACAACATTCACATGCTGCAAAGGGTGAGTAATTCGTTTTCTTGCCCCCCTAGCAAGCGTGAGTTGCGCAGCGTCTCCCGAGGCCCCACTTCGTCGGCCATGTCTGCAAGATCCAACGAGCCCGATGCAAGCGCTCGTTGCAACCACGTGCTGGTGCTAAGCACACGTACTTTGCTCGTGCTCGAAGTGGTACGAGCGCAGGGGAGGAAAGAGTGCCGTAAGGGAAGCCCAGATGTTCGGAGGGTTTCCCCTTTCCCCAACCAGCTTAAATTGGGCAAGACGACTTGTCCTACCGTCACTTGCTTTAATTAGTCTTCTTGGGGCGTGAAAGTCGTACATGACGACACACAACGCTACCCGGTGCCTTAACAAATCTTCTTCTGGTGCTTGCACAAAGTTTGGGTTTTGGATTCGACGGATTTTGCATCGCAGAACCAAAAAAAAAAAAAAGGCAGTGTAATAGACACATAAATCGAGATATAGATCCGCAAAAAGGTTCACTAATACCGTCAACGTTGGATTTGTTGGAACATTGACATCCATCTATGACAGATTTCAGAAGGAGCATTGTAACCACCAGCACCGCATGTGTTACTGCACAGTACACATGCGAACAGGCAGAGTCAACAGCACTGAACCGATTGAAGCATAATCACATTACAGCTACTGAGGCGTTTGCAGTTGGCTACATCAAACTCTAAAGACAACTTTTGCCATGCTTGCATCAGACTGTACCGTCATGGCTGAAGTACAAGCATTTTATGGTTAACCAAAGCAGATTTCTATTTTGTTTCCACCAGCATGCTTGATCTCATCATGATTTCTGGTTTGCATGCTTAACTTGAGGCCAAGTCCACCTTCGGCAACCACATAGTCGGCAGTCCAAGATGGTGCTCGTGAGTTCGCTCCCGAAGCCCATTTTGCTTTGCGATTTCTAGTTCGCTTGCTTTTTTTGTATTTGTTCCTGATGCAAAATTAAGGACAGTAGATGGGTAGGCGGTGAAGAGCAAAACCGCCTAATGTGTAAAAAGGCAAAATGCTTCTACACATGCACAGCAGAGCCATGGTGCGACACAGAACGACACACACGAGATGACCGTCTTTTATCGAAAGCACATTTCTGTGTTGATTGTGTTGCCAACACGGATAGACCCTTCCGTTAATTATGAAGAGCTTGCATCTCTAGCTTGATTCTCTTGCAGCATGTTCTCTGCAATCTGAATCTCACAGCACTAACCGATATGTACAATAAATGTTAACACTGACCTGCCCAAGAAGTCATTTTGAGTTGTGCTATCGTCTGTCATCTATTTTCTTAATATAAAATCTTGCAGCGTTCTCGACACATTCACCTAAATTATAGGCTGCTAAGGGGCTGCGATCCTTCAGCGACCATGCGAATCATGAGTAGTACATGGATTTGCCTAGTCTTCGTGCTTGACCCCGCCGCGGTGGTCTAATGGCTAAAGTACTCGGCTGCTGACCCGCAGGTCGCGGGATCGAATCCTGGCTGCGGCGGCTGCATTTCCGATGGAGGCGGAAATGTTGTAGGCCTGTGTACTCATATTTTGGAGGCATGTTAAAGAACCCAAGGTGGTCGAAATTTTCAGAGGCCTCCGCTACGACGTCTCTCATAATCATATGGTGGTTTTGGGATGGTAAACCCCACATATCAATCAATCAGTCTTCGTTCTTGTAGGCTTCAAATGCAGTTGTGGGTTCGTTTATGGCAGTGTTTTGGTTTTGCTTCAAATAAAAGAACAAACTAATTTGAACTTCGTGACCGGATTCGAATTTGTGAACCTAAAAGATTAAGGTGGTGATCAACTGATAAACTATTGCTAATTGTTGTTTTGTGACAAAACAGATTCAAGCCATGCGAAGCCAAAAAGAACATAAAGTACAAAGATTAGGCAAATCCATGTGCTACCCAGCATTTCCATGCTCGCTGAAGCGTCATGCGTTGCACCTCCCATGGACACTAGCGGCAGAGTTCCTTCTAGTGTCCTTACAGGAAACTCTATGCATAAAAGTACTCTTAGGTGAAAGCCGTCTTGTTCTTCTTAGTCATTGTATTGATCGTCCCACGCCCCCCCTCCCCCACCCCAGTGAAAAGCTTTCTGCATGTAACGTGGTTTTCCACTGCCACCAGGATTGGAGACATTACGAATTTTTCACACCTGATCTGGTTTTGCGCTACTTCCGTAATTAGCCCACCTTTGACAAAGCGTTGATGTCTTGTAACGATGTCACATGTTTTTGCAATCTGTGCTGACGTCATCATGTGCCGATGACTATATATGCGACAAACGTGTTGACACCGCTAATGCAGATGGCGTATTTTCGCATTTGATGAGGCAGCCAAGGTTTGAAATTTTAGTGGTTCAGTTCAGTTCAGTTCAGTTTATTCAATCATTCAAAATACAAAATTCGTAGAGTGTAGTATGCAGACGAGGGTCCCAAAGTCAAGCGACTGCAGGGGGACCCTCGGTTAAATATAACAATAAAATGATTAATTAAAACAGCACGTAAAATACGCAACACAAAGAAAAATAAACAGTGAACTTACATAAAATAACATCAAGTAAACAAAACAGGCAGTCAGAATGCGACACAAGAACAATATTAATAAGATTATATAAGTAAAACATAATCACGCCAAAAAGCAATAACGTAAATTTGCAAAGACTTTCCCATTTCATGCCCGGATACCAAGAATCGTTTAGTAATCATCGTTGTCAACCTAGTTATGCAAGATGAAGTTTTTAAGATCACGTTTGAATGCATGAAAAGATGATGATGATTTTAGTGTGTAGGGCAGGTTATTCCACAATTTGATGACCGCGAAGGCGGACGTCATTTTGCCATAATTGGTGTTACATTTAGGTAAAAGGAAGTTGTGACTGTGGGCGAATCTAGTGCTATTGGTGTTAGTGAGTAAACTAGCATCGATTAAATCAAACACAAGCTGTTTGTTGAGTTGTTTATATAACAATGTGATTAAGTGAAATTTAAATAAGCCAGACACAGTAAGAATACAGTTAGCCTGAAAGAGTGGGGTAGCATTAGAATAAGATGAACTGTTGGTAATAATGCGCATGGCCTGATTCTGAATGTGCTGTACAGACGAAATATGAATGTTATATGTATTTCCCCATGATGTAATGCCATAGGTGATGTGACTATGTATGAAGGCAAAGTATAAAGACAATAAGGCTTCAAGTGAAAAAAAAGGACGAGATTTGATGAGTGATCTTATACCAAATGCTGTTTTTTGTTTAACGTAAAGAATATGATTGGTGAACTTTAAATGAGGGTCCAATTTTATGCCCAGGAAACACACACAGTTAGATGCAGGAATGAAATGATTGTCAATGAACACTTGTGGAATGAAAGGTAGCATTTTTTGTGAAGTTTTAAAAACCATGAATTGAGTTTTGAGCGGGTTTAAAATTAAGTTGTTTAAGCGACACCATTCAACGACATTAGTCAGTTCCTTGTTCAACATATTGATCAGAGTAGGTAATGATTGATGCGAGATGGAAATGGTCGTATCATCAGCGTAAAGAATAACTTTTTCAATAAGTTTGCTGATGGAAGACAAAATAGAAATAGGGCGGTAGTTACGGACATCTGTCGTATCACCTTTTTTGTATACTGGGATTAACTTGGCTTTTTTCAGTGAGCTCGGAAATATACCTTGTTTGAAAATGACATTAATTATATTGCTTAGGACTTCTGAGATGTCTGGAGCAGCAAGTTTTAAATGAAACGCCGATACATTGTCTAGTCCAGCGCTACAGTTTTTTAGACTCAGAATTGTAGAATAGACTTCGTCAATGGTAACAGGAAATAGAAAGAATGAATGGATACAGCGGGTAAGGGTGTACGAGGATACTTTGGGCCTATCATTGTATACTTCATAAAAGTAATCACTAAAAGACTCAGCTATGTCAGAGGACTCAGTACAGATTTGCTGTTTATACCTAATTTTATCAATGACATTACTAACCTGAGGTCTGTTTAAGAAGTCATTGAAAAGTTTCCATTTTTTCTTTGGGTCATTTCTTGCTTTACAGAATTCTTCTGGTGTTCTACTAAATAAAGTCCTGATGCATACGTTGTCGTCACCACACCGACATTTTCCTCCTCTGTGCTATTGATTTCAGGCCATCAACAACATGGAATCGGAGAAAGGCATGGCCCCGGATGACCCCCGCTACCCCCAGATGCTGGGAATGGGTGGTGGTCGAGGGGGCAAGACGCCGGGAAGCGCTGCTGGAAGCAGTGGTGGCAGCTCTGGGGTGCCCAGCCCCATCATGGGACCCCCTCCCATCCCGCCCCAGGGTGCGGCACCTATGGGAGGACCACCTCCCCATGACGGACCGCCGCCACCGCACCACGGATATGGACCGCCGCCGCCTCAAGGACCCCCACCGCCACAGCACATGGGGCCAGGCAAGTCCTTTCATGATTAACGTGCAAGGGCCAGTAATCGCTACTTTAAAGGGCCACTCAACTTGTTTAACAATTTTGAAATGACAAGCGCAGTGCATACGTGGGGCGTTCACGATGACGTCTGCCGAAATTTGTAACGTAGTGCGCTGGGGAAATGGGTCAAATTTCAAGCTGAACGCTGCTCCCCCTTCCTTTTGCGAACGAGCACCCAGAAAATGAGGGCATAACATACCCGTAGAAATTGCCCTACTTACACGGCAGTGCTTCAACCTTGGTCCTCTACGTAGATGACTGTGCTCTGACGTAGCCAACAGTAGCACGTGACATGATGAAAATTATTTAACACGACGTGTAGTGTATGTAATTTGTTGCTTGAATAGATAAATAAAGCTTGAGATGAATAATGAGACGCTATAATGGAATTTATGCGTCTTTTCAATTTTTTCTTCGTGGATTGCAAGGAAATGCGAAGCTAATGTGCCTGCATTTCGCATGCATTCGTGTTCCTGCGCTTTCGCGTTCGAGCACTCATTCTACTCTACCGCGTTTTCAAACGATCACGCAGAAACTAGCAGTATACCACGAAATAACGCTGGTGAACAAAACAACGTCACTCGCGTGCTCAGGGGTCGGGCTTGTTTGGGCACGTCATGCTCCCCGAGACCACGTGGTCAGATGCTGGAGAGGGTAGGGAAGAGATTTGGCTTGCAAAGGCTACGCGGGGTAAGTGGCAAAAGCTTTGAGCTCGCCTCCTCGCATCTTCCTTTCGCCCCGCTAAAAAAAAGTTTTCTTATCTCATAATAAACCGGTTGAAATTTTTGCAGCATAATGCTCTTCGTCGGACACACAACAACTTCTATGGTCTAACTAAAATTTGTTATGGGGCCTGGTGAGTAGCCCTTTAAATATATGAGAAATTTTAAAGAACTTTTTTCTCAATTACTACCTGTGACAGATGCCTGTAGCTGAACAAACGTCACAATTCCAGAGCGGCAGTTGCTGCCTTGCTTGAGACATATACAAAATATGAACTACTACAGTTGCCATATCTTTGATGAATGAAAGCAGTAAACCTATTAAAGCTGTTGTGAGTTTATTACAGCAGCAGATTTTGGTGGCATGATTTTCCGTCACTGGTGTCTGTTGAAGCTATCGTTCACATTGAGAAAACGAAAACTTGTTTTGTGTGGGACTCAAACGTGGGCACTGTGCATGGCAGTTGAGTATTCTACAACAGAGCCACACCAGTGCTTGACGCTCCTACAGAAAAGGGGCTGAAGTAAACAAACGTAATATTGTGCAGCAGAAGGGTAAAAAATACACCAGGTGGCACACAATGTAAAATGCTTGACGAGAGGGCGGTTTAAAGCTTCTCACCCGTTACGTGTCATCACCGTCATCAGCCACAGCATCAACAAAGTGTACAGCTATGTAGGTGCGCACATTGCCTATCAGATGCTGCATCTCTACTTTGCAAATCTATAAAATATGACATAGTCTGTAGTTCTTTATTTCATAAATTGGTGATCATAGTGTGGGGTTTACCTGGAAACTGTACTCGCACTAGTCCTCTAAGAGCCTGTAGAAGAGCGAGACAAGACCGTGGCAGTTGAGGCCATGCCAGGGTCGCAGCTTTTTATTGGGATGCAGACGAAGAGAGGAGGGACCAAATCGGTTCAGGCTGACGCGTCCAGCAGGGCCAATAGCCAGAGTGTTCTCAACAGGCTCTTAGAAGACTAGTGCTTCTGCGACTCTGCCCGCCAGTGAAGCCTTTCTACCTGGACTACCCCAAAGCATGGTTCATGCAACTCGGCGCCGTTCTCGCGGTGAATAGCATCACGGACCAGCCGCTTATGCACACCATTTTGCTTGATGCGCTGCTGGTCGAAGTTCGTCGTTTCCCTGCCACATCAAGCTCCAGCCCGCAGCCCTACGATCACCTCTGCTCTACGGTGCTGGCCTGCGAAGGAATTGCCTACCACCTGTTTCTGGGTCCCGTGACCTCCAGGTTTCCCTGGCTTCACACCAAGCGGTACCAACCAGCCCGCAGCCCTGCCTTGACCATGACTTTACTCTCCCAACTACGTCACATCCAACCTCATATCCGGTCACCAGCGCAACGAGTTCTGCGCCCGACCACCCACCTGACGAGGTCACATTCGACCCGTCAGCCATGAAGTGCATTCTTTCGATGTCCTTGGTCTGTAGTCCTACAAGCAAGCTTGCCATCCGTACTTCTTCTTTGACCTCCATGACCCTTCGAACGGGTCAGACTTCACTATGGCTACATCGCCGCACACCCCGGAGTCTGCCACCCCTACAAACATCGTCATGCCTGCTATTGGCTCTTGGTCGCAGAGGCTCTCTACCAATCTCAACACTCTGTGCGTCCTGCCACCAGCAACCAGCCTTGCCCTTCTGCAGTCTCCCGCAGCTGAAGTTAAAGCGCCAGCTATCTACGGACAAACTTCCAAGACGCTGCGACTATGACCGACGCTCCTGAGGACGGCGTGCCTGGTCCACCTATGGCACAGCATACCGCACATGTTACGCCTGCCATAGAGGTAGCCATCGTTTATGTGACTTGCGCATGAACCCTCGTGTGCCAATCACCGAAGGTGCCCGACTGTCCCTCTTTTCGAGTACACGCTTGCTGTGTGTCATGGCGTGCCTCCTGCCAAGTTCTCGACTGGGGACGCGAACCAGCTGGCTTGCAACTTGAATACAGGCAGACCCTTTGACACGTCACTTGCCTCCTCCATCTCGGCCCGACGCGCTGACCATGTATTGTACCCACCACTACACGCATTGCGTGCAGCATGGTCCTCCGAGCATGGCGTTTTTGCATCTGCCAACTCATATACCCGTGTCGAAACGCCAGGCGCCATAAGACGCATAGCGAATCATTGCACTACCTCAGTAGCACTACCTCATTGTGCTACCTCAGTAGTACTACCGATCTGCTGCCAATGTTAGCAACCAAACCGACACTTTGACCGGCACCGTATTCAGCTGCGTTTGCTCACGCCACTTGGTGCGCTCACAAGCGCACCCACCAAGCCATTGGGGCACCTGCTTGTTTATATATCAACGCCCCGGTGCCTTGTTCCTCAGCCAGTGCGTTTCTCCCAGTGCTGACCACAAGAACAATCATAAAGACCCTGTGCCCTCTCATGTTAATTACTCAGACTTCCCAATGAACATCCTAAGAGTTGTCGTTCATGCATATAGTCTCTTTCCGTCTCTTTCTTTTGTATATACCTTTCAAATCGTGCAAAGCGCTATGGGGGAGCCCTGTAAAGCCTTCATCATCGTCCTCATCATTCAGTCACCGCGCTGCGCCTCTCGCACTGCTCGTGCTCGGAGCTCGAGGTGCGTGCGATATTAGAACGAGTCTTCGCACCTGCTTTCTAGGATGCAGGCAGCCGTCTCCGCTCCGCTTTGATTCTGAAGAATAAAGTGCCTAGATCCCCACACGTCTCTCTGCCTCTCGCTACAAGCCTTTACTATAGGCTACATGAAGTCCACCTCTTTCAGCTTATGCTGTGACTGTGCTAGGCTTTTCTTGCATGTTTAGTCAGTTCATGCTGCTCCTGTATGCTAGCTAATCAACCTACAGCAGAAAGCTTAGATTATGTGGCATCTGTGAAAAATGCTTATTGTCTGAGTCAGTCATGCCAAGTTGAATTGCAAAAGCTAGACATTCTGAGAGTGCTCGTCATTTTTCTCGCACATCATCCAAGTCCACAGAGCAGTAAGAAAACATGTGCTCCATGTAATGTCAGGCATATGTCTTAAAAAAAAAGTAGTGTTTAGATGATCTGTGCATGCACATATACATGCACACACACTCATTCATACATGCATGCATGGCACAGTGGATATGTAGTGCTCTGTTCTGCAGGAGTTGCTTCAGAAGGCATGTAAGAGTTATTAGGAGTTAGTAAGTAGCTGTGTAAGTGTTAAGGGGGGAAGAGGGTTTTAAATTTTTTTTTTATATTTCTTGACCAAATTCAATGAAAATTGTAACCCAGACAGAGTTTTTCAAGCTGATTTCAAAAATATAATTGCTTTTGAAATTGGTTGGCCAGTTGCAGAGATAATTAAAATTAATCCTATATTGTTTATCAGAACAATGGAAAGGCAATTATTGGCCAGAATATTAATATTGACATATGGCTAGATACTATGAAGTGTAATTAACACAAATGTAGGATTACTTTTTTAATATTACAAGTATTACCAATTTTATAGCAATTTGAAGTTTAATCTCCAGATATCTCTATCAAGCGATTAAATTAGTACCAAGAATAAAAATTTAGAAAGACTAGATTGAAAAATCTGTTCCTACATTTGTGTAGGAGACATATGTAGCTACATGCCACCACAAGAATTGTGGCTCTATGTGACCTCAAGACCAAGATATCGCTTTGGCAAGTTTCAAAAACATCGAAAATGACATTCTGAGAAAACGTCAAAAAACAAAATAGGCTCATATTTAATACAGAAAATCACAAACTATTTACAATGTTCACAAATGGCCTAGCATCAGTACCCTCCAGGAACATAGTCTGTCTGTTTAGAGTCATTTCGGTGTTGTTTTCGTAGCACACGCTGCAAGTTTTCTGCAGAAGCATGCTTGCGTGCGCATGCTTCAGCACGGTGGCGATCTTTTTCACTCATGCGCTTGGTCAACTGTTGGCCAGGGTTTAGCTGAAGTTCTTGAAGTATGGCTGTAGAAGCTTTTTCATACCCAGAATTGAACTTCATTACAGCCTCTGCCACAGCAGCTTGCACAGCAAACAATGATGCATGTTTCTCCTTCGGCGCCAGTGCCCAAATAATTGAGTGGAGACACTCGTTGTTATTTTGGGTCTTCCCTCTTAGGCATCGCCGAAGAAGCGATTCATCAGACAAACGTCTGTAAACTGGAAGAAGCGCCTCACATACATGGGGTGGCAGATTGTGGCGGTGTTTTGGAGCAGGCTCACCTTTGGCCTTTGCTGCGTTTTGGCGGCACCATGAATCTGGGCCCTCTGGACAGAGAGTGTGGTTAGAAGTGACATCGTTTGAGGTGATGTGGTAGTATGTGGCCATGACTGCTTTATGCATGGCCTTGACATCACCTTTGTGCGATTTCAAGGCCCAGCCATAGTAGCTGCTGAGCTTGGTGATAAGCTCACCAGTCAGCTTTCCTTTCCCACCGAGACTCTCTGTACCAGAGGACTTCTGCTTGGAAACTAGATTTCGCAGTGCTGTGCCCATTCTCTTGTGAATGTGGTTAACACAATCTTCCTTGTCCACGGGTATGTATCCATAGACTTTCGCATCTTGAAGAGCAAGGTAAGCGCGGCTGTCACCATCCGACAACAAGGTCGTGTACCGCAGCTTATGCTTCTGCAGCGATCTTTGGAAGAGGATCAGTGCCGCTTCCACCTCCATCTCCCCAGCTTTTTGTCCGTGTTTTTCTGGCATGCGTGTGCCTCCTTCCAAGCCTGGTAGGCAGGGTCAACTTCTTTTGGTGCCCGTGCGCACCCAGCACAGAAATTGCTGAGCACTACATAATCGAGCACAAATCCTGTGTAGAGCTCAATTACGGTGCCGACGCCGATATGAGACGAGTGGCCGCGCGTCATCCATGTGCCATCGAACGATATAGCGATGTTGTCCGGGCTGTTTATATTTAGGTCACGGTACAAATCGCGCACTAATTGTGCACATGTCCCCATCAACTTTTCTGCCCCATCGGTTGCCGCGGGGACGAGTTTCGTTTTCAAGTGTCCCTGCCATGTTTTATTGTGCATTCCTCTCTCCGAAATGTTCATCGCCGCAAAAATGTCGTTCATTGCGGTTTGCCCGTTTCCGGTGCTCTGCATTGCACGCTCCGCAAGGATGTTTATGACAAAAGGCCTGAGCTTTGCTTTGCCGCTCACGCGCGGCGAGCTCCATCCCTGCACATTATCGCCGCAGATCGCACATTCGGCAACAAACTTCACAGCAAGGCCAAAATCCCGCTCACCTTTTCGCACCGTGAGGTTACCACCACAAATTGTACACTTGCAACTGGTAGACGCCAGCAGCGCGTTCATCGAGTCGTAACTAGCGATGAAAAAACTTGTAGCGAGATCGTTGCTAGCTTGTGTGGCAGCGTCATCACGATCCAAAAAGTCAGATTTTCGGGCAGTAGCAGGAGTTGAAGCAAGTACATTAAGTTTTTCTTGAGCTTCACTCTCTATACGCCGCAAATCTTCTGGCTGCAACATTGCAGTGTCGTGCCGAAACGACGACGAAGACCCGCGGCGGTTGTCAAGAGCGCTTTGGGGGACTAGGCCTAACACGCCCGCATCGGCGCCGCTCGACTCGGGAAGCACGCCGTTCTCCGCATGGTCAGGAACTGGTGGTGGCACAGCAGCGCATTTCTGGAAGTTGTACGGAGTCTTCCTCTTCCTTTTGTTCCGAATTTGTACTTCGTAGCGAACTTCGGCGACGGCGTCGACATCGTTGCTCACGTGCGAAAACCAGTTGACGCGTACGGTGTGCGCACAGTCGCCGCGGAGTGATGCAGACGATGCCTGTCAGGCCAATGGCGTGACCCGCTGCGGGTCACGTGCCGTAACTGGCCAATTACTGCGCGTGTTGGGACTTCTTTTTGAATCGGGATATCTTCACAGCCAACGCGCGCTCGGAGCCGAAAATGGCGCGAAAATCAAGACGAGAGGCTGCGCTTTCAAACGATATATGATTCGCGGCTGTCGGACAAATATGACGGCCGTCGCGTGTCACGGAAAAGGCGCTTTATTTACCAAATTCTTGGCTCATATTTAGCTGGCACTGGTGCTAAAATTGATATTACGGCTAAGATATCGTTTCAAACTGCATAAAACTTGGCGAAATGGTAGAATATTGGATGGAAATAGCAAAACTGCCATTTCCAAAAAATCAACTTTTTGACGATTTTTCGGCTTTTAAAACCCGTGTCCCCCCTTAAGACAGCCGTACCTCTTGGTTCACGTGTGTCTTGATGCTCGCAACAAGGAGGCAGTTTTCGTGTTGTCACAGCCACGCGCCTCTTTAAACGCCAGGTCCAGGACCGCACGGTTATGGCATGGGACCCCAACAGACTGGTGCCTACGGAGGGGGTGGCGGCCCCTACCAGCAACAGCCGTACCCTCCTCCACAACAGGGAGCAGGGGCAGCTGCCAGCACAGCTTCCCTCACCAGCCAGGCCCACATCCGCACCATCCACCAGTAGCGTCGGAGCCTCCCGACCCAGCAGCACAGGGTGAGTGGCTCACAGATGTTGGCTGCTGCACCACTAGTGTCAATATTTTGGGATCAAGTGGCTTGTTATTTTGATGTCGTATGTTTGTGGGGCTAACATAGGCCATATTGGTGGGTGCTTAATTCAAGGAAAAGGTGAGAGCATTGTTATGACGTCACCCAGGCCACTTTGTGGGCATACAAAATTTTAATGATGCAAATAGCACTTAGCTGCGCCCATGACATGATGACTTTTTGTATACCTTTTATACCACAAAAAAATGACCAAAAGGTTGATATTTTTTTTTTAAGTCAAGCTGTCAGTTCTAATTTTTCTGTTTGATTCTAAAATACCAGCACTCAGAACGGATTATCGAAGTGTTGGGAAAATTTCTTTTACCAGCAAAGGTTGGAAAAAAAGTCCAAGGTAGTCGCAAGAAACAGCATGCTTCAAGTCGCAATATCTCAGCCAGACTACCAGCAGCTGACATCATTCCGGCCTTGTTGGCGTGCATTTCTCCATTTTCAAATTTCCCGCTTGAGCCGTCGCCTCCGTGCATGAACAGGCTCACAAAGAGAGAAGAATTCAAGACTGGTCGGAGGCTTCCGCCTGGTCATGCCCGTTACATTTATCTGTCTAGCTTTGCAATTGCCTTGGATTTAGCTTTACCGAGCCTTGGATTCCTCTCTGCATCTCTCTGCAACATTGTGTGTGAACACATATTCGGACCATAGAAATAGTAGTCGCCTGCCTGTGCCACAGGAATTTGGCGATTGGCCCGCCATGTTTGTCAGTATGCGGGCCGCACGCATTTGTGCTACGTAGCTACGCGAAGCATATTGCACAGCTGGTGTGAACTTCTTGGCGTCTCAGCTTAGCGTGGTCGTCAGTGCTTGAATAACACATCCTTTAAAGGATTCCCTTCAACACTTTTTTCAGCATGGCTGGAAAATTTCTGCTGTTTGGTAGTTGAGCCTCCCGAGAACGCTTGAGCCAAACATTATTATAGCAAGGGAGTGACGTGCCCATAAGGCCAATGGGGACGAATATTGAACACGATATTGGCAGCAGTTGTAAAAAAGATTGGAAAATTACTATTTCTCTTATAACTGAAAAAGCTTTTATGATCTTTTACACTCAAATAGCTTTTTCAAACAAATAATTATTAATAATGTTGTTCTTATAATTTACAACTGCGTATAAAACTAAATAGGTTTCAAAAGCACAAGGGCATTTCGATATGGTGGCTGGTATTCCGCATAGCAGGCGCCACCGCCAATGCACTGTCGCCGTTTCGACAGGGGCGCTACATGAAGTCTAGGAGGAGAAGCTCGCAACATGCCACTGGCTTGGTTACAGTGCAGTACGTGGCCTGGAACTTACAATTAACTCTCATGTAGTGAAAAATAATTCCCCCTTTTATCAACTAATGATGCTATAAGCCCAAATGACCGACCATAAACCTTAAGTCCACAGCGTTGGCATCATGAAATGCCTAATTGCAATGACAGCGACCGGAGCACGCCGCGTGTCTGTCCTCACGAACACACTGAAAAATAGCGGCGTACTCGAAGGAAAAAAAAATGATATACAAAAAATATTGCTCAAGCTCATGACGTGCGCTGATAATGAGGCACATATTCTTGTCCCCTTTATCATACCCCCTCCATACCCCTGCCTGGCTTTGAGCGTGCTTGCTGGTATGATAGAAAAGAGAACGCGCTTGAAGCTCTTGAACTCTGCTCGTACTTTATAGATTCTTAAAATATTTACGGCCGTCGATTCGTGAGGCCATTTTATGATTACTTGAAAAAACGTTGCAGGGCACTGTTTGTGGGTTGCTGAACCCGACGCAGTTTTGAAAACCTACAGGCAGGTGCTTGATAAGAGCCACTATAAAAAATGGGCCGACTGTTCTTTCTCATAAGCTTTCTTCCGTTCACCAGCAGGTTACGGCAGTGGAGGAGGGCCTGGCAGCGGGGGCCCGCCTTCCAACGGGTCTGCAGGCAATGCTCTTCCGGGCGCCGAGGGCAGCGGCACTCCCGGCAGCGCCGGCTCAAAAACATCGCTCCTAAACAATCCCCAGTTGACCCAGTTGCGGGCCCAGATCATGGCGTACAAGCTCCTGGCACGCAACCAGCCCGTGCCGGACCACATCAGCATGGCTGTCCTTGGCACAGGCTCCTCCCAAGGCACCCCTCAGGGCTCGCCTCAGCCAGGACCACCGTACATGCACAGGCCACCAGGTTTGTTTGGTTGCGGCGCATGGTCTGTGCGAGGTCACTTAAAGGACGAAGGATGTGGTTATTGCTGAGCAAAGAGAAGGCGGAACTATCTTTCACAGTCACAAGGAAACATGGCATGGTGCCTTGGTTGAAGTAGCTGGGAAATAAGTAAATAGAGGATGTACAAAGCAGATTTTGTTGGGTAAGCAAGGAGAAAGAAGGGCAAGAAGAAAGTGAGAGGCTAACTGAAAATAGTACTCTCCTGCTAAACGAAACCTGAAGGGACTAGGAAAGTGTGTTTAGTTTAACAGGAGTTTTGTTTACTGAGAGGTAAACAGGGGTACAGCATTCAAGTGTGAGACCAATCACATTACTGAGAGTTGTTTCACTTGAGCAGCAATTTCGTTAAAAACGTTTTGTTTTATGGGGTAAATTTGGACCATGCTTAGCTTAAGAGAGTGTAGATGTAAAACGTCATCCATGCGAAATTTTATCCTTGAACTACAGATGGATGGCATAAAAAGTTTGCGAAATAAATGTTTTCAATAATGAACCTTAACTCTTTTGTTACCACGCCAGAATGGTCGTTTTTCATATGTTTCGGGAAGATAGTTTTTGCCAGCTTGAAAAGTACTCCAGTGTGCATTTTAGTGCACCAAATTTTGCACAATCAAGTGCTCTTTCCAAAAAATTTATGTTGTAGAGCAACAAAATATTTTGGAATGAATAAAAATGTGAAAAGTGTAAATTTTGGATGCCAGCTTGTAAAAGTGCAAATAAAAACATTGTTTGCAAAAGTATTCGAAACAAATAAAATTAAGAATATACATTTTGAAGATAAATGACCCAGGAACAGTAGAAAAAATAATAATTGTCATAAAAGTCTTTCTATTCACATAGACAAAGAAAATCGGAACCAATGTGCTGCTTCGTTGCTCGTGCCATGGTGAAGCGTTGCTTGGTTTTTCGTAAAACATAAGTGATTTTGGTAACCCTGCATACCAAGGAAACAAGAAACGTCCCTTTTATCGTGTCTCAAAATGACGTCACTCTTTCTTGAAGTGGGTGTGTGGCTAAAAAGTTTTTCAGAAAGTCCGCGGCGACGCACTGGGGTCCATATCCATACTTTGTCACCTGGTTGAAAATGCGCTTCGGTACGACGCTGATTGTACCGATGGGAGTCGATACGTTGTTGGCGGCGTATTCTGTATCTCGCCATCTGTCGTGCTTCCTCGGCTCTTTGCAGGAAGTCGTCTAGGCCAGGTGGATTGCTGCTTTCATCATTTAGTGGTAACATGGCATCCAGTGGAGTGGTGACTCTTCGGCCGAATACAAGTTCAAATGGTGTCACTCGCGTTGTTTCTTGAACGGCTGTATTATATGCGAACGTGATGTAGGGCAATATTTCATCCCACAGTTTATGTTCGACGTCGATATACATTGAAAGCATATCAGTCAGAGTTCTGTTCAAGCGCTCCGTTAGGCCATTTGTTTGAGGATGGTATGCTGTAGTTCTTCTCTGGTCTGTGTGGGTCATTCGCATCAGACATTTCATTAGGTCTGCAGTAAAAGCTGGGCCACGATCTGTAATTACCACGCTGGGTGCACCATGTCTGAGGACTATGTTGTTGATGAAGAACTTGGCAACTTCAAGAGATGTTGCAGTGTACAGCGAGTCAGTCTCAGCATAGCGAGTGAGATAGTCTGTGGCTACGACTATCCACTTCTTGTGTGCAGTCGATGTCGGAAACGGGCCTAGGAGATCCATACCAACTTGTTGGAATGGGGCATGCGGTGGTTCTATTGGCTGGAGGAGGCCTGCAGGTTTCACGGATGGAGTTTTGCGTCTTTGACACTCACGACAAGTTTTGACATAGCGCTGAACTGATGATAACAGTTTTGGCCAGTAGTATTTTAGGTGAATTCTGGCGAATGTACGGCTGACACCCATGTGCCCAGATGTTGGCTCATCATGACATGCGTGCAGAATCTCGTTTCGTAAAGGTGCAGGTACAACGAGTAAAAACTTGTCACCATGAGGCTTGAAGTTCCTCTTGTAAAGGACCCCTTCCCGAAGACAGAACGAAGGGAGCCCTCTGGATAAAGTGCGCGGGACTTTAACGTTGAGTCCTTGGAGACGCTGTATAAGCGGCAGCAAATCGGGGTCATTTTGTTGTTGTTCAGCGATTTCTGATGCCTGGACGACGCCTAGAAACGGGAAGTCTTCTTCCTCCGGCTCACTCGTCTCCACTGGTGCGCGTGACAGGCAGTCGGCATCGCTGTGCTTTTTCCCAGATTTGTATACCACAGTAACATCGTACTCTTGTAGCCTAAGGCTCCATCTTGCTAGTCGGCCAGAGGGATCCTTAAGATTCGCCAGCCAACACAGGCAATGGTGGTCACTTACTGCTCGGAATGGTCTACCGTAGAGGTACGGCCGAAATTTACTTATGGCCCAAATGACCGCGAGACACTCTTTTTCGGTTGCAGAGTAGTTTGTCTCAGCTTTCGAAAGCTTGCGGCTGGCATACGCTAGCACTTTTTCTTGGCCGTTTTGCCGCTGGACTAGAATGGCTCCGAGGCCGACGTTACTCGCATCAGTGTGAACTTCAGTTTCGGCAGTATCATCGAAGTGGGCGAGGATTGGAGAGGCTTGCAGGCGTGTTCTTAACTCATCAAATGCTTCCTTTTGTTCACTTTCCCACCTAAAGGGCACCTCGTCTTTTGTCAGATTAGTAAGTGGTTCAGCAATGTTCGAAAAATTTTCCACAAATCGCCGATAGTACGCGCATAAACCCAGGAAGCGACGTACTGACTTCTTGTCTTTGGGTGTCGGGAACTTCGCGATGGCAGCTGTCTTTTCGGGATCTGGCCGAACGCCGTCGGAGCTGACAACGTGTCCGAGGAATCGAAGCTCTTCAAAGCGAAGTGGCATTTTCTGGCTTGATGGTCAAGTCTGCTGAACGAATGGCTTCTAATACTGTGCGGAGTCGCTCTATATGTTGGTCGAATGTAGCGGAAAATACGACAACGTCATCCAAGTACACCAAGCAGGACTGCCATTTCAGTCCCGCGAGGACAGCGTCCATCATTCTCTGAAACGTAGCTGGCGCTGTGCACAGGCCGAATGGAAGCGCTTTAAATTCGTAGAGTCCGTCTGGGTTATGAATGCGGTCTTTTCACGGTCACGCTCATCCACCTCAATTTGCCAATATCCGCTCTTGAGATCAAGGGAGGAGAAGTATTTCGCACTCCGTAGTCGATCGAGTGTATCATCGATACGCGGCAGAGGGTATACATCCCGTTTCGTTACGCTGTTCAGTTTCCGATAGTCGACGCAGAATCGAAGGCTGTTATCTTTCTTTTTAACAAGCACTACGGGAGACGCCCATGGACTGCTGGAAGGCTGGATCACGTCATCTGAAAGCATCTCCTCCACTTGTTTCTTGATGACGTCTCTTTCCTTTTGCGATACTCGATATGGGTGTTGGTAAATCGGTCTCGTGGCTTCTTCTGTTATAATCCTGTGTTTTGCAATAGCCGTTCGTCGCACCTTAGAGGACGTTGAAAAGCAGTCCGAAAACTCTTTTATAAGGGCAAACAATCGTTTCTTTTGATATTCTGGGAGCCTATGGTTGACGTTAACTGATGCGTCGACGTTGCAGGTCTCTTGTGGAGTGGTTGGCGTTGTCGCTAAACTGCATAGTTCAGTCGCCATGCAGAACTCGTGGAAATAGGCGATAGCCATACCTTGCGCGATGTGCTGACATTCATTCCCAAAATTCGTAAGGAGGACAACTGAGCGGCCATTCCTTAAGTGAACAACACCCCTTGCCACGCAAATTCCTTTGTTTAAAAATAGCTCTACGTTTCCATCCGCTATTCCTTCGTGGTCACAAAATGCCTTATTTTCAACAAGCACCATTACACTACAGCGAGGTGGCACTGTGACGTCATCATCAACAACGCGCAGAGCAGTAAGACGTCGCTTTTCCGATTCCTCCACCGACATAGCTTGTTCTGTCGAAAACGTTACACTGGATCTGCGCAGATTAATTATGGCTCCATTGGCTTGCAGAAAGTCCATTCCTAGTATAAGTTCCCTTGAACAGTCCGGCAGCACGATGAAGTCAGCAACGTAAGTAAAGCCTCTTATTTCGAGCCTTGAGGTGCATCTGCCGAGCGGTGTAATAGTGTGGCCACCTGCCGTGCGTATCTGTGCCCCACTCCATTTTGTTACAACCTTTTTCAGTTTCTTTGCCAATTTGTGACTCATTACCGAATAATCAGCGCCGGTGTCAACTAAAGCATTCAGCTTTATTTTCAACCGCAAATCTGAAGTAATCTTCGCACTGCTGCGCTTATCCTCTGTAAACATAGCATCGTCACCTTGAAACCGCAATGGAGGATCTTCGCAACTGTCGTTATCAGCGGCCTCACCTCCACAGGTCGCTTGCTTCAGTTTTCCTGGTGTGGGCTTGTAGAACGGTGCCCAGACCGTGCGGAAGAAGCACGTGGGCTGGGTGATCGGTAACGCCTGGGCGACGGCGATCTTGGCTGATGTTGGCGTGGAGTGAGTGGGCTCTGGCGCGCGGACAAGTACTCTTCGATCTCGGCTGGCCGTTCACCGTTTCGAGGGCATGGTGCGTACAATGGAAAGCCCCTTAATCCTGCCTGTCGGTAAGGGCATAACCTATACAGGTGACCTGCTTCCCCACAATGGAAACACGAAGGCCTGCGCTCATGGTCATGCCAGATGTCACTTTTCCGGGGCCTTTGATCCACGTAGCGAGCTACACCACGGGCTCGTGGCAGGTAGGTAGCCGTCGGTTCCAGTGGACGAGGTGCGCTGCGTACCGTTTGTGGGCAAGGAGAGGCCATTGTAACTGCTGCATTGGTGTGCGCCGCGGGTTGTCTGAGTACTTCAGAGTACGTTGGTATGCGTTGGATCGGCTGTGGCGCACGCTCCGGCTCACGTATCATCTGCCTCAGTTCATCTCGTACTACGTCGACTACAGACAGTGTTGCTGTAGTGTGAGGTGCTTGCAACTTGCTGAGCTCTTCCCTGATCACCGACCTGATGAGTTCTCGCAAAGCGTCCATGTCACTTTGCTGGCGTCCAGAGAAGACATTGGCAGGTGCATAGTTTATGTCTCGATTGTACTGTCGAGCCCGCTGTTCTAGCGTTTTCTCTATGGCTGTCGCTTCCGTATGAAACTCCGCAACTGTTCGTGGTGGGTTGCGGACGAGAACAGCGAATAGCTCTTGCTTCACCCCACGCATGAGGTGGCGTAGCTTCTTGTCTTCGGTCATATGGGTATCTGCGCGCTTGAACAGGCGGATCATGTCCTCGATATACATTGCGACAGTTTCGTTGGTGAGTTGGTTCCTGGATTCGAGCGCAGCCTGCGCCTTTTCTTTGCGATCCGCGCTGGCATAAGTCGCCAGAGCTTGTTGCCGAAATTCATCCCAGGTCGTAAAGGAGGTTTCATGGTTTTCATACCACGTCTTTGCGAAGTCCTCCAAAGCAAAGTATACGCGGCGGAGCTTCTCTCTCTCGTCCCAACCGTTCAAACGTGCCACTCTCTCAAAGAGGTTCAGCCAATCTTCTACGTCTTCATACGAGTCGCCATGAAATACTGGTGGCTGGTGAGGCTGATTTATCACCACTTGGGCTGGTGTTACATGACTTGTCATGGGGGCGGCGTCCATTGACTGAGTTCCCCTTGGCGTAAAGTGGAGTGGGCTGAATTCTGGTGAATCACCTCGAAGACGGCGACTGGTCCTCTGATGCACAGGTGTCGGCTCCGCAGTATCAACTGGCTGGTGGTCGGGGCTACGCTGTCTTGCGTTCGTAGGGCTTTGGTTCATTACCCAGCACGTCCACCAGAAATGTAACGATGTTGAAGGGCTCGGGGTATAACAAAACGTATTTATTAAAGGGCGAACCTGTGCCCACAACTCAAAGGGACTATGGTCGTAGCACGTTACAGCAGAATGGCAAGATGTCTTCCTCTTCTACTTCTTCAAGAAGAGTCCCAAGCGCATGGCACACATCAGCAGGGGCCAGCTGGGTTCTCTTGCTATCATCATCGTCTCTACGCAACACTAGACGGCGCCCATGTATGTCTCTGTGCGCGTGGTGATGGGCGCGTTATTTGAATGCAGGCACTATGTCGTGGCAATATGACATAATGCATCACAGATTAAATGAGCTATCAGTTTCATGTCGGCAGCAAAGAACTTATCGAGACCAGCGCTTGTATTCTTAATACTATTGATAACGGTGAACACTTCCTCGGGTGACGTCGGATAAAGGAAGAATGAATGTGGTAATCGTGAACAAGTGTGTTCGAGGGGTGCTGTCGACTGAGGAATATCAATGCCGAATGAGTCATTAAAAGAGTTCGCGATATCAGATGGGTTATCGATCACACGTTTTTCTGAGTGAATCAAGGTTATATCTGAATGTACCGTAGTCCTGCCAAGAAAATTGTTTACAGTTTTCCACTGCTGCTTAACGTCATTTCCGGCTCGCTTCATTTTATCTTAGAAATTTTAGCGGCTTTAAGTAACTTTCCTTATGTGTTTGAATATTCTTTATAGCGCTTTTGAAGGTGAACATTGAAAGGGCACTTTTTCATCTTTTTGTATAAGTTATCCTTTTTCCGCAGACATTTTAACAGGTTAGGTGTCAACCACGGATTAATTGGGACAAGGTACTTTTTTCTGCTTACTACTAATGTTGAAGCGGCCGTGACTGCATTTGAAATGATAGAGGAAAATTGTTGGTAGGCTATTTCAGCATTATTGCATTTCTTAACTGCCGACCGATCACACTGCTCGATGATGTTAATGAATGATGCAGTATTTAAGATATTCTTGAAGCATCAACTTAATTTATTTTTATTGGAGATGCCTATGCTTGCATAAATAGGATAATGATCTGTGACAGGCACCTCGATGACAGCTGCTTCAGGAGGACTAATGAGGTTAGACAAAATGTGATCTATAATAGTGCCATTGCCATGAAGTGGAACACGAGTTGGTGCAGTTATGAGGCACTCATAGCCATACCCACTGAAGCAGGAAATGTATTTAGAAACATTTGCGTTGGTGTCATCAAGAAGATTAATATTCATATCTCCTAAAATAATCACCTGTTTCCCTTCTAATGACAGAGTTTTCGACGCCTCTCCTAAAGCTAGGCAGAACTCCACGACAGATGACGACGGAGAGCGATATATGCAGGCAACAACTAAATTCTTACTATCTTGCGAAAAATGTGGTTCATGAAGTTCAATCCACACGGATTCGCAACCAGGAATACTTAGTGCCAAGTCCAGTCGTCTATGATAGTGAAGGCATGAAGATATAAAAATAGCTGTTCCACCATGTGCATCGTTGATTCGGTGACAGTATTCAGAAGAATAGGAAGGAAACTTAAACAGGTCGCTGTCATATTCACATAGCCACGTTTCACTGATGCAGATGATAGAGAACTGGTGACCAATGGCCGACAGCAATGAGGTAATATTATCATAATTTTTTCTTATACTTCTTATATATAAGGCCCTACATGGTTGAGACATCCGTGTTGAGAGTTCAGATGGTGAAATATACGCCATCCTGCAATTGGATAGACGCTGCAATTGCTAATGTATGATATAACTAGGAGATAATGGACAGGTCGATCTCTGATATTATGCAAAATACCCTGGTGTCAGTAGATTTCCTTGCTTTTATCTGACGGTTATCAGTCCAAAGAAACGCCCACTGTTTCTCTTTTTTGAGAACAAGTGCTTTAGCAAAAAGCTTCTTGTTATCCAGCGAGAGGTGATCATTAACAAAGACAGCATGGGTGCCCTCTCCAGAAAAACCAAGAGCACGTGTATTCAAGCGAGCTTTACATGCCTTCCTAACAAACTCATTCTTTTGCTCTCGTGAACAGAATCGGGCCACGATATTCTGTTGTCCAGACTTAGCTGGCACTTTGTGAACAACGTCAAGATCAGTGCCTGATACAGGACAGTCGATTTTGTTACCAATCGACTGCACTATGGCAACACAGTCCTCCCCTTGGGAAGAAGGAACGCCCTTGATCTCGACGTTGTTCATCCGAGTGTACTGCTCTAGGTCCGCCACCTTCTTCTTTAAAGTCTCGTCCTCATTTTTCAAAGCTTTGTTAGTAGAACAAAGCTCTTGTTGTTGAGTACGGACAGTCTATACAATGTCGACACATGCCCATAGAGCCAATGGGGACGAAGATTGAACACGATGATATTGGCGGCAGTTGTAAAAAGACTGTAAAATTGCTATTTCACTTATAACTGAAAAAGCTTTTATGATCTTTTACACTCAAATAGCTTTTTCAAACAAATAATAATTAATAATGTTGTTCTTATAATTTACAACTGCATATAAAGCTAAATAGGTTTCAAAAGCACAAGGGCATTTCGATATGGTGGCTGGCATTCCGCACAGCAGGCGCCACCGCCAATGCACTGTCGCCGTTTCGACAGGGGCGCTACATGAAGGCCCGGACGAGAAGCTCGCAACATGCCACTGGCTTGGTTACAGTGCAGTACGTAGCCTGGAACTTACAATTAACTCTCATTTAGTGACAAATCGTCCTCTCTTTTATCAACACATGATGCTATAAATTCAAATGACCGTACCATAAACCCTAAGTCCACAGCGTTGGCATCATGAACTGCATAGTTGCAATGGCAGCCACCGGAGCCCACCACGTGTCTGTGCTCACGATCACACTGAAAAATAGCTGCGTACTCGGAGCAAAAAAAGATTGATAGACAAAAAAAATTGCTCAAGCTCATGATGCGCACTGATAATGAGACACATATTCTTATCCCCCTATCATACCCCTGCCTAGCTTTGAGTGTGCATGCTGGTATGATAGAAAAGAGAAAGCGCTTGAAGCTTTCGAGCTCTGCTCGTACTTTATAGATTCTTAAAATTTTAAGGCCGTCGATTCGCGAGGCCATTTTATGATTACTTGAAGAAACGTTGCAGGGCATTTTTTGTGGGTTGCTGAACCCGATGCAGTTTTGAAAACCTGCGGACAGGTGCTTGATAAGAGCCACTATAAAAAATAGGCCGACTGTTTTTTCTCATAAGCTTTCTTCCGTTCACCAGCAGGTTACGGCAGTGGAGGAGGGCCTGGCAGCGGGGGCCCGCCTTCCAACGGGTCTGCAGGCAACGCTCTTCCGGGCGCCGAGGGCAGCGGCACTCCCGGCAGCGCCGGCTCAAAAACATCGCTCCTAAACAATCCCCAATTGACCCAGTTGCGGGCCCAGATCATGGCGTACAAGCTCCTGGCACGCAACCAGCCCGTGCCGGACCACATCAGCATGGCTGTCCATGGCACAGGCTCCTCCCAAGGCACCCCTCAGGGCTCGCCTCAGCCAGGACCACCGTACATGCACAGGCCACCAGGTGTGTTTGGTTGCGGCGCATGGTCTGTGCGAGGTCACTTAAAGGACGAAGAATGTGGTTATTGCTGAGCAAAGAGAAGGCGGAACTATCTTTCCCAGTCACAAGGAAACATGGCATGGTGCCTTGGTTGAAGTAGCTGGGAAATAAGTAAATAGAGGATGTACAAAGCAGATTTTGTTGGGTAAGCAAGGAGGAAGAAGGGCAAGAAGAAAGTGAGAGGCTAACTGAAAATAGTACTCTCCTGCTAAACGAAACCTGAAGGGACTAGGAAAGTGTGTTTAGTTTAACAGGAGTTTCGTTTACTGAGAGGTAAACAGGGGTACAGCATTCAAGTGTGAGACCAATCACATTAGTGAGAGTTGTTTCACTTGAGCAGCAATTTCGTTAAAAACGTTTTGTTTTATGGGGTAAATTTGCACCATGCTTAGCTTAAGAGAGTGTAGATGTAAAACGTGATCCATGCGAAATTTTATCCTTGAACTACACATGGATGGCATAAAAAGTTTGCGAAATAAATGTTTGCAATAATGAACCTTAACTCTTTTGTTACCACGCAAGAATGGTCGTTTTTCATATGTTTCGGGAAGATAGTTTTTGCCAGCTTGAAAAGTACTCCAGCGTGCATTTTAGTGCACTAAATTTTGCACAATCAAGTGCTCTTTCCAAAAATTTATGTTGTAGAGCAACAAAATATTTTGGAATGAATAAAAATGTGAAAAGTGTAAATTTTGGATGCCAGCTTGTAAAAGTGCAAATAAAAACATTGTTTGCAAAAGTATTTGAAACAAATAAAATTCAGAATATACATTTTGAAGATAAATGACCCAGGAACAGTAGAAAAAATAATAATTGTCATAAAAGTCTTTCTATTCACATAGACAAAGAAAATCGGAACCAATGTGCTGCTTCGTTGCTCGTGCCATGGTGAAGCATTGCTTGGTTTTTCGTAAAACATAAGTGATTTTGGTAACACTGCATACCAAGGAAACAAGAAACGTCCCTTTTATCGTGTCTCAAAATGACGTCGCTCTTTCTTGAAGTGGGTGTGTGGCTAATTGCAAGTAATTTGACTTTTGGAAATGTTGCAGCTGAAATATTACCGTATTTACTCAATTCTACCGCGCCCTCGATTGTAACGCGCACCCGGTTTCCACGATGAAAAAAAAAAAAAGTAAGACATCGATTGCAGTGCGCACCCATGTTTCTCATTGGCCCACACGATCACACCACTCAGGAAAAAGACTCCTTTCGGGAGCGTCTTCCGTTTAAATATGAGGCACGGGGGAAGCTTGTGCCTATCTGACGTGCACCGGAGCATTGCCGGCACTCTAGTTTTACCGTGGCCTGATGTCAGCACGCGAACTTGCTTCGCCCCCTTCTTCTCGACGGTTGTGGTGCCAGGCATGTCGAAGTAAAGAGGCGTCTGATCGGCATTCCCGATTTGCCCAAGCAGGGAGCCGTTGTTGTGCCGCAAGTTTTGGACGAACCTCTGAAAACTGAAGCTTCTCTTCGTACTCCTCCGGCAACTTTTGGCATATGCCCGTTCGCCTTCAGAGGGGAAAGCCTTTCCTCTTCATAAAATTAGTTAGCCAGCACCTGCTCGCTTTAAACTGGCTCCGCATTAGCCCTTTTTCTAAGGATAACTGCATAGCCTGCACTTGGAGAAGTTCTGTCGTCACGGGCCGCTGTGCCGCTCACTGCTCAATCACATACTCGCCGAGCAGCTCTTCAATTTGCGGAAACCAACCCTGCTGTGGTCCACTTAAGCGTTTGCGTGAATCTTTGCTGTCGACAATATTCTGCTTTTGTTTCCGCCAGTGCCGCACGCATGTTTCGGGAACTCCGAACGACCGCGATGCCGGCCGATTTACGTCCCGTTTCCGCACACGCGATGACTTTTCTTTTAAAAGCGGCATCGTGGTGCACTCGTCGAGTTTTTGGAGTCGGCCCTTCCATGCCGTCGATGCTAATGCACACCAAGATGACAAATTCCTCAGCACACGTACGAAGTGCCGCACATGAGAAACACATAGGCAGAAATGGCCGACGCGCCATGCCGACGCACGTACAGGCGGCCATTTTGGAATGCCGATGGCAATAGAATGACAGTATTCATTTTTTTTCGTACTCGATTCTAATGCGCATGCTATTTATAAACTCGCTTAACCGGAAAAAAGGTGTGCGTTAGATTCGAGTAAATACGGTAGATGTGTGACCTTTTAAGAAGAATTACGTTTCATTGTGTCCATATAGCATAAGTGACTAACATTTGCTCTTACGGGCAGCTTTAGCGTAAGCAATTCTTATTATGGACTTACATTTACATTGTTGTCGTCAGAGACCGATTTGTAGCACAGCCTGTAAGACTGAGCTTTTACTGTCAATCTTGCCGGAATGCGTGCAGGAGCACCGTCGCCTTCCATGCGGCCATCCCCCCAGCCCGCACCACCCATGAGTTCAGGGGGCCCCCCACAGCAGTATGGGCCAAGTGGCAGCCAGGGCACCGGTGTGGGCGTACCGCCGGCCATGGGTCCCCAGTACAATCCCGTGGCACCCACTTCCGGGGCTGCCGTTCCTCCGGGAGTGCCGCCCCCTCCTCCGCACGGCCAGCCCCCTCACCCCATGATGGGATCCCAAGGGGGTGGGGCACCGACTCCTCCACCCCAGGGGGCCGGTGCGGGGCCACCCGGGGGAGGGCTGCCCCTGCAGCAAGGTCCCCGTCCGGGATGCCAGGCGCCGCCTCAAAATGCAAGGGGTAGTCCTGGAACGGGACCACCATCTTCGATGCCTGCTATGATGCAGGTGAGTAGCGTGACATTTTAGTATTTTACTATGGAGCTGTTGAGCTCTTTGTTAGTCTATGTGGTGACACCAGAAAACGGTCATCGTCATCAACTGGCATGCGCTCTCTTCGTCCTCTTCATCTTCTGCTTCCCATCCAAAACAAGTGTGCCAATTTGTACAGTGAAACCTCGGTAAACCGTAGTTGGCCGAAGCTCGGAAAAACGGTAGTACAGTGGAACTTCGATTATACGTCCCCCGGTCCTGCGACGACCCTGTGTTTTACGACGAATTGGCTTGGTCCCGGCAAAACCCCCTTAGAACTAATAATATATTGAAAACCTCAATTCTACGACGCAATTTTACTTCGGTCCCCCTCTTATGACGCTTAGCTGGACTGTCCGAGAAAAAAAACACCTATGATGACGCACGCAGGCTGCCACGCAAGCACACTGCGGCCGGATAAAAAAAAGTCGGGAAACCGAGGAACCGAGTTCGTTCCTCCGCACGTTTAAGCACACTATCCGCAATGCCACCGCTGCCACCACAGGGCCTCTTCAATTTTTCGACACGCTGTCGGCCATAACTAGCTAGAGTCAACGTTGTCCAGAGCCAGCAGGAGCGCATTCGTTTTGCCTAGTCGCATTGCACTGCGCACTTACGTTGGGGCCTTTTTTTGTTTTGTTTTCTGCCTTATTTTGGGTGGTTTTGTAGTGACAGCTGTGAGCAGGTAACATGGCAGATAATTTCGAGCTCGCTTTTTAGTATGCGATAACTTTCACTAGATTTCGCGTCGTTGTACCGGACGTGTTGAATGGCGATTGTTGAGCCTGTCTACGTTTGGGACAGCCGCGGGAACCGGAACTAGCTGCTGTCTAGCTGCCAGAGGGCTGGGGAGTTTTAGCCCCTCGCGATTGGTCGAAGCTTGCGCAGACGTACGCGCTTGCAAAAATCGAATGGGCCCACTGCCTTGTGGCCTTTAAGCCATTCCTTCACTTGTTTGCCTGATCGGTGGGTTGTGCGCCGCAGCTGCTGCGTCTACGTGCAAAATTTTCAGTATTCGGACATTGGTGTGCAAGGAAGCTTTCGAATTCTTGGTTGCGAGTGCTGCGTCTCGCAATGTCATGGAACCGAAAACCACTGACGCTTGGAGAAAAGCTTCGCATAATCGAGGAGGCGGAGAAGCACAGCGGAGCAACAATGGCCAGCATTGCCCGCGACCTGAACATTCCTGAGTCGTCGCTGAAAACGATCCTCGCAAAGAAGGACAGCATCCTACTAAATGCGGCAAAGTTCGGCCTGAACAGGAAGGCCGCGAAAGATGGCAAATATGCTGCCATGGAGACGGCCCTCGTTGAGTGGTTGCGTCAGGCCCGCAGTTCAGGAATTGCCGTGAATGGCGCAATATTGAAGGAGAAGGCGAAGACAGTTGCATTGTGCGGCGGCATTGATGACTTTAAAGCCTCCAATGGCTGGTTGTATCGCCTTAAAAAATGCAGTGGAGTTGTGTACAGCCGCTGCTGTGGAGAGAGCTCGTCAGTCAGCTCCGACACTGTCGAAAAGTGGACTGCATTGCTGCTGGAATTGATACGGCAATATACAAGCCGTCGGACGTGTTCAACGTGGACGAAACTGGATTATTTTATAATATTGTTGCGCATGCCTGGGAAGAAAACGAAGATGGGTGAACAGGCTGGCTGCCCGAAGCTGGAGGAAGAAAGAAGACGACGACACTGCGATCATCAACCTGTTGGCCGCTCCGGCGCTTCTCTTTGCGACCAAAATAAACGGCCCTCTTCAGCCGTATACGTCCTGGTCCTCCTTGTGCGTAACAGATTGGTGGAGGTGCTGGGTAAGACAAATTCAACGACGGGAGCTTCACTTCCAGGACTTCCCCGCAGCCGCCGCCTTGCCGGACTCCCGCCTGCGCTGGTCGTAATGGCCCAAGATCAGTCATCTAACGCTTCAAGGCCAACTACAGTGGGTTCCGTGCCCTACTACCGAGCCCCACCAACCTTCGGAGGAAAATCGGGAGATGTCGATGCGTGGCTCGTCCAGTACAAGCGAGTCAGCAAGTCCAACGGCTGGGATGCCGCCGCCCAGCTCAGTAATGTGGTCTTCTGCCTTATGGATACTGCGCTTGTGTGGTACGACAATCACGAGGACACACTGACGACGTGGGACGTTTTTGTTGCGGAGCTGAAAGCGTGTTTCGGCGACTCGAGCATCAAAAGGAAGCGGGCTGAGCAGACATTGTATCAACGCGCGCAGCTACCAGGTGAGACATGTACCACGTATATAGAGGATGTGCTGAAGCTCTGCAAGGTGGTTAATGATCAGATGTCAGAAGAAGACAAAGTAGGGCATTTGCTGAAAGGCATAGCCGAAGATGTCTATAATTTTCTCATCGGAAAAGAGCACCTGAGCTCGATGTCCGACGTGATTCGGCATTGCCGAACTTTCGAACAGCTGAAAATGCGCAGGATTGCTCCAAAGTTCGGCTGGCTCACAAATGTTACAACGGTTGCCAGCATCGACACGAGCTCCTGCCCAGACCTGTCCTCGACGATTGGACAGAACTTTTTCGCTATAGGGAACAGACACACTCAGCAGTTGATCACCATTCTATAAACGACCAACATTCGGTATATGTGCCACCTGAGGCTGTGCCTGCGCCGCCGCCTTCTATGACCCCTTGGCAATCGATGGTCAGTGCAGCAGCTGTTCAGTACAGCGCACCCCCACAGCCAAGGAAAGCACCACGCTTGCCAGCTCCTCGCCATGACCGGCGCCCTCAGCTTCCGCCTTCTTCGCGATGCCCGGTCTATCCTTATGATATACGGGACGAACCAAACCACTACGCCAGGGAAGACGATGTTCGATTCATTGACGCACAAACAGAATTTCGACCTCTCATGGTTTGCTACTCCTGTGGTGTTCCAGGACATATTTCGCGATTTTGCAACCGTTGACGTGTAGCCCCACGGTATGGCCACCCACCACACTTTGCATGGCCTTCCGAACAACTTCGCAACGACCCGCGAGCAACGTACTATGGCCCATCACAACACTTCACACGATCGTCTGATCGACCGCACGACGACCCTAGGGCAACACACCTGCTGCCTCGTGAAGACTACTGGACACGCAGCTTCAGGAACCACTCCACTACATCTGACAGGAGCTTGACGCCTCCACCGCCTCGTGTTCCCCGTTCTCCTTCACCACGACGTCGCAACACGTCTCCTTTGCCACAGGAAAACTAGCAAGCGCGGCCGATGAAGGTGAGGTCGCCGGAGACGTGCTAATATCAGAAATACCTCCTATGTTGATGCTCAAGAACAAAGTACGTGTTTTTGTTGACGATGTGCCTGTGATGGCTTTGGTGGATACGGGGGCAACCATTTCGGTCATGAGTGTGGGTTTTAAAGATACCTTGGGGCGGAAGGTTTTATTTAAGGGGAATCAAGCTTCGAAGTTTTGCGGAGTGAGTGGTGAGGCAGTGCATCCTGTTGGTGTGTGTCAAGCTGACGTGTTTCTCGGAGGCCGCGTTATCCCAACAGAGTTCGTGATTATGCCGCAGGCGACACATGATGTTATTTTGGGTATGGACTTTTTGAGGGAGTGTGGTGCGACTGTCGACTGCCGCACAGGGACAATAGTCTAGAGTGATCACGTTCCGCCAGCACTCTTGGAAAACCCTGTGGATGGTGAGACGGCATTGTGTGTCTGTGGCGACACTATCATACCACCGTTATCAACCGTTCGTGTACCTGTTAGTTGCAGCGACAGCTATTCCGCCAACTTTGATGCCAACGTAGAACCACTGTACATCAACTGCATGAAAAAGAATGTGTTGATCTCACATTGTGTGGTGTCGATCAGACGTGGACGTGCTGGTTTATGGACTGTCAATTGCTCTACAGAACCCGTGATGTTACCAGATGGTCTAAAGTTAGCCGTCATCAGTGGACAACACGAGGCCTTACTGGTGACCGAGCTTAGAGATGCGCCGGAAGAGCATCGTAATCACAGTTTTGAAACGGCTCTTCTGTCAATGGTGAATAAGTCGCTGAGCACAAGTGAACGCCGAACATTGGTCAATGTACTTTCGAAGCACGTCTCTGCATTCGACTTTGCGCAGAAAGACAAAGCACCCCTAATCCCTGCTTCTCGGACATGTCACACTATCAACACGAGTTTGGCCAATCCGATTAGACAAAAGCCATACCGTGTTTTGCCATCCAAGTGGCAGATTATTAATGAGCAGGTGAACGAAATGATTGAAAACGGTATCATTCAAGAGTCGGTAAGTCCATGGGCAGCTCCAGTAATTCTCGTTAAAAAGAAAGACGGATCCTGGAGATTTTGCGTCGATTATCGCCGATTGAATGCTGTAACAAAAAAAGACGTGTACCCTTTTCCACGTATTGATGATGCCATAGACTGTCTGCATTCAGCCTCTTACTTTTCCTCTGTAGACTTAAGATAGGGCTACTGGCAAATTCCCATGCATCCTGAAGATAAAGAAAAGACAGCTTTTGTAACCCCTGACGGCCTTTTTGAATTCAACGTGATGCCATTTGGACTGTGCAACGCGCCGGCGACGTTTGAGCGATTTATGGACACTGTTCTTCGTGGCTTGAAGTGGAGCACTTACTTGCATGTGCTATCTCGACGACGTCGTCATCTTTGGCTGCACCTTCAGCGAACACAATTCACGTCTGGATACTGTACTGACTTGCATAAGAAACGCTGGCCTTGTTCTTAACTCAAATAAATGCCACTTCGGAGACCGACAAACCCTTGTTCTCGGACACCTAGTCGATCAGGAGGGCATCCGTCTAGATCCCCAGAAGACAGCAGCCGTTGAAACGTTCAATGTGCCGCGCTCTGTGAAGGAGCTCCGCAGTTTTTTTGGGCTTTGCTTCTATTTTCGCCGCTTTATACCTAAATTTGCCGATGTCGCGTATCCGCTGACATGTTTGCTACGGAAGAATACTCCCTTCGAGTGGACTCCG